GACTTCGTCGTCGTTAGCCAAGTCGAAGTCATATTCGATATCACCTGCCAATGCACCAAGTAGACATAGGAGGAAGGCAAAAATCAAAAAGCCCAACGACAACGGCATCAGCTAGCGTGCATACTGCGATACATATTTCAAGATTTAGTGACGGTTGAGTGCAATAACGACGCGCCCGCTACGTACCGGTACCAGCACGGTAACTTAAGCCGAGGATGTGGGGGCCGCTCGGAACGCCATCGGAAAGCTCAGGAACTTGCACCTCCACCTTGCCATAAGCCGCGCCTACACATGCGATATGCTTAGTAATCCAATGTAGTATCATACATGATATATCGGGTGCCTGATACCTCCATCTTCATGATGATTTCGAATAATTGAACAACGTGAGGGACCCTTTAGAAACATGACAGCGCCAGCGGATGGTGCAGATCGTGGCCTCGTTGTTGTACATCAACCCTCATCTGAATGACGTACAGATTGATTGACTGAATCTCAGATAACAGGCGCCAATGGAATCATAGGCTACGCATGCGTTGTTTACGCAGTCCAGGTTGGTTATCGAGTTCGCTGCGTGGTACGTCGCTCGTCCGCCATTGAGACAATCAAATCCGCGCCCTCGGTGCAGTCATACCTCCACTGTATCGACTACACCATTGTCCCAGATAATACCATCGAAGGCGCATATGATGAGGCCCTTGAAGATGCACAGTATGTCGTGCATATAGCGGGAGCTTGGCCGATGCCCCACCTACACCCAGACAACGATATCTACTACCCCTTCATCGAATCGACGAAGAACTTGGTAAAAGCCGCGGAAAAAGCAGGGACAATAAAGAGAGTAGTCTTCACTCAGGCCGGCGCAGGGCTGGTAGACTCCGAAGATGGTGATACGTTGGGTACATGCATGGATCGTGTGTTGAACGGTAGTCCTATCCTCTATCCTAGACATGATCCGAGTTACTAAAACGATGATAGAGCAAGTTGAAGTTTCAAAGACCTCCTTGGAGTATAAGCCGCCGTTGAAATCCCCTCACAACGCTTACACCGCGGCAAAAGCACAGTGCATGGACTACCTGGCGCACACTCAGGTTACCGGACAACTCGGTTTCTCCATCGTGCAAATCATCCCCGGTACTGTCATTGGGCCTTCGGAATTTTGCGATACGGCCGAAGAAGCTCTTGCGCACATGGACCGGCAGACCAAAGCGCTCTTGTTCGATGACGTGCCACCACGGTATGCATTTGGATTCGTGCATGTTCAGGACTGCGCAAAGATTCACATCGAGGCTTTGGACGAGGAGAAAGTGAAGAGCGAGGATCTGCCGAAGTGGTTCGTTGCCGCTGGGACAGTGGAAGAAGGTATTGATGCAACACAGTTGTGGAATGCGGCGGCGGATATGATTGAAAAAGAATTCGGCGATGAAGTGAACACAGGTTTGTTCAAAGTTGGTCGGACCAAAGTGCCTATCAACGCCCCCTTCAGAGCCGATTCGCAGTTGACTGAAGAATTGTTGCTTGGCGGAGGAAGGATCAGGGGTCTGGAGGAAAGCGTGCGTGAGGTTGCGCGCTGGTATGTTGGCTTGAAAGGGAATGAGATTTGACATTCCTAACATAGTCCATTGCAAGGTCTACCACTTGAAGCTTTCCTCAAAATACTCCACACCACAATGGCCTCTCCCAAGCATTTCTACGCTCGCTTTTCTTGCCTGGTCCGCCATTAGAGCTGGTCCACATGCAACAATCGCCAAGCGCTGTTGCCCGGCCTCCTGCGCCGTCTCCTCAATAGTTGTATGTACATTTGGTCTATGCGACATGATCCTCACACTCTTCATATCCTCGTCTAAGACGTCATCCTTGGCTTCCTCTCGCGTGACATGCACCTCCAACTCGAGTCTCTCGTCACTCAAAAGCACACGAAAGTCGCGAAAGGCTGCAACCAGAGCTGCATATTCGCGTACTGCCCATACTATCTTCACACTCTGGACATGTGAAGAGCTTGAAAGAATAGAGGCGAGATGAGAAAGCGGGACGGCAATACCTGTTCCACCAACCATGAAGAGGATGTTCGTGAAGTTTTGCAGTGGAACCGTGTGCCCGTATGGTCCTTCGATTAGAACCCGGAGCTTCGTGGGATGGAGAAGGCAATGCGACTTTATACGGGATGTAAAGCCATCGTACGGCCGGATGAAAAAGACAAGAGTCGACGAAGCATTTGGTGTTTTAGAGGCCAGGAGTTCGTCTAATTCGCCTCCTGCATCTGAGGATGGACTAAGAGGTGTAGATCTGTCCGTAATTGGTGACAGTGGCATGATACTCGATCCATCCACGTCCTCCAAGACATGCGCCAACGTGAAAGGGTGATTCTGATGCGCATATAGCACGTCGTCTAGCACGTGGATGTAATAATAAGTCCCCGGCTTCGGTGCGACAAGATTGTTCGTTCCATCCACCTCCATGCGTATGAGGTTGCTCTTTGAGTCATAGGTAACCAAGGCCTTGGTGTTCAACGGAAACCGGCTGAAGGCGAGAATGCGCCCCATGCGCACGACGCGGTCGAAGACCCAGATAGCGACACATGGCCAAATGAAAATGTTCCACTCGCCGTTCTTGAATATTTCGACATGATAATACATGGTCCATAGAGTAGCGATCGAAAGTGCAATGTGGATAACGAGGAACATCTCATAGTGAGCCCGGCGTATCCCATAAAAGGAGAAGGCGAGCAAGGCGCACATGGCGATTGTGGCGATTTCGCCGTTCCAGAAGTAGTGTTTTGTCCAGTAAACAAGAAACGATGACCAGCCTTCGCCACTGAGGATCATGAGCGTATAACCCAAGCTGTGCACAACGGCTTGCAACGTTGCCACTCTAGCCACCCATCGATGGAATGCGTTGTAAGTGCCAAATCCCCATCCGGTCATCCAAATGAGCACATCATTGCGCATTCCAAACAGCCACATCAGTGGAAAGTTTGCTAGCGAGATAATGCCAGTGCGGTCCGATACGAACCGTAGGAATTGTGCTGACTTTTTCGGCCAGTAGAGATTTCCTTCGGTGAAGCGGTATGAGCAACTGCAGAGAACGAGATTAAGTACTACAAAGAGCGCGATCGTGAGTGATTGCACTCGAGGTGGGATCGTACATCCAACATACGGTTGAGAACAATGGGTGCCGAAAGTGGCCGGTATTGTCAGGTACCGCCTTAACCATGCTTGCGGAAGTGTTGCAATACCCCATGATTTCAAAGTACCGCCTGGAAATCCTGGAAGATGTCGATATGTTCTCGTGTTGTAGTATAGCTTCCAGACGAGTGACCAGAGGCGTGTTGTGATACCGACGGCGATTACGACAATCCAGAAGTAGTACATGTACCATCTATGTTCAGTGTTAGTCGTCACAACAATCTGAGCTAGATACAACTCACCCGTATACAAGATGAATCGCATACTCCCAATCTGCAGTTTCCTGTGAGCTACATTTAGCATTGACGTCGTATCACTCAGACTGCCTGCCTTACCATGGTTGTATAGGCTCGGTCGAAGAACTGGGGGTCAGGTATTACGACTTCATTCAAAGACGGCCATTCTAGTGCCTCAGCTGCATGTATCCTCCTCACATTGCTTTTCGCATCCGCCGTCCAGCCATCAACAACCTCTTGAAAGGACGGTAATGTGAAATTTGCGTGTTCATCACACCAGGGTCTTTTCTCCTGGGTCCATCTTTTTATATCCCCGTGTTGACTACAGAACTCATCGGCACACAAGTATATCGACGTGATGCGAAACTTGCTCCGACACGCGCGTACCTGCCTCGGCGACGAAGGATTCGTGTCATTGTAGGTTGCGTAGTTGCTGACCGTTTCGCAAGCCAACGGACACTGCCTGCCAGAATAACGGGCCTGCACTACGTATGAAAGGTTGTACAGGGTAACGAGGAGTGTGTAAACGCGCATCTGTACACGCGACGTAATACAGAGTGTGATGACGGATGCAGAGCGGCGGAGGCTTGGATGAGACGGGCTGGATGAAGAAAATCTTATCAGATGATCGCGCACAGCCCCGCGCCAAGGGTCTGTCTTCCAACACGCGGCCAACCATCTGGTAACGGACACCATCCCAACATCCATCCATCGCTTATCAGCCGCCCTGTTCTCTTAACCTCGAATATTTGCCAAACAACATCATGTCGAAAACTAATGATCGCACTGGTTTCCTCTCCTTACCCACCGAGCTCCGCTTGCAAATAGCATCTTACGCCCTCGAACAGCTGCCAACCGATGAAGAGAGATTGATACATCTCGCACAGCCTTGGAAAACTTGCGTATTACAGTCGGTTTACAAGTCAAGCAAGAATCTAGCTATACGGCTGGTGTGTCGCGAGTTTAACCGTGACTTCAGTCGCCTCGCGATCCAGAAGACGACCTTTGTGCTGTATGGTGGACTAGGTACGGTCATCGACGCTCAGCCCGATGAACTCCTGAGAGATGTGAGGAGATTAGTCATTCCCGTTCATAGGATCTTCCACCCGTTGCCGGAATTTCTGTTCAACAGAGAGTGTTTGCATTTGGATGAGCTATGCCTTTATGACACGCTTGAATCTATCATAAGACATCGAAAAACTCTGATATACATGCTCCGGTATTTGAAAAATGTCAAACGAGTCAGTTTCTCTGCGGATCCTCGCTCCTCTTGCTCCAAAACTCAACGACTTGCGTTTCGTCGCCTTATTGGGCAAATACTAAAGGAAGATCACTATCAAAGATACGATTCCCCGAATGCCCCTCAACCGGAGACTACCTGGTGGTCCTGGATTTACAGCAACGACTCAGCACATGAGTTTCTGACAGCGCAGGAGCCAAAGCCCATCATGGCGGAGCAAGATTACATGTTGCTGGTGAAGCCGAAGATAGATGAACTCATGGAGCAGATAGAACTCGACCAGAGTGTTTGCGGTCACTCATGTCACTTAGCTCTTCATATGTGACGGCACCGGAAAGACATAAGACTTCGTGGAAGAAGCATCCAAGGCCCCTCTCAATGCCAGCCCTCTTGTGTCTCGATCAAGTGTCCGGAGCAGACGTAATGCGCCATCTCTATCAAGGTTTGTAGAAGTCAATGTCAAGACCATATGAACGATGCCTCGGACGTTGTCGGTCTTGGCTTACTAAGCATGCTGTGCCGCTCTGTCTCCGCCACTCTGCGGACTAGCGCATTATTCCGCAGTTTGCTGACTACACAAGCAATCAGAATCCAGTAGGAAGCCAATCTGAAGATGCGCAAGAACATATATCCACCTGATGTACAAATACTTCTGACGACAACGTTTTGGATACTACACCATCAACTTCCATCTACCAAGCCGCTATCAGTAATCCAGCCGAATATCACTCCCACCAGGGCCACCCTGTTGAAAACCCACAAACATGTCTGATACCTCCGAACTCATCGTCGAATACGCATACAACAACATCGCAACATGGTACTTACAATAGGTCTCGCAGCAAAGCTCGCCACGAGAGCGATACACACAAACGCTCCTCAAGAAACTCCCACCTTCTCCCCACATCCTAGAACTCGGTTGCGGCCCCGGCATCCCCACCCTACGATCCCTCCTCGACCAAGGCGCCCACGTAGTCGCAAACGACATCTCAACCGCACACATCCAAATGGCCCACCGCTCCTGTCCAGAAGCCAAACTCCTCATAGGCGACATGACAGCCCTGAATTTCGCCCCATCGACCTTCCACGGCGCAATCGGTTTCTATACGCTTTTCCACCTCCCCCGCTCTAAGCTCCGCGGCATGCTCACCAAGATCCATACGTGGCTGAAACCTGGTGGCGTTTTCGCCTTCAACCTCGCGACTATTGACGAGGAGGAAATTCATGGCGAGGTTTTGGGTTATGGGATGTTTTGGAGTGGTTATGGTGTTGGGCATAGTCGGAGGCTGGTTGAGGAGGTCGGGTTCGAGGTTTTGCTGGGCGAGGTGGTGAAGGCGGGGGAGGGGCGGTTGGAGGAGTGGGATCAGGATTTGAGGCGGAGATTTTGTGGGTGGTGGTGGGGTAGATGATGTGGGTACTAGAGAGCTGGGGGGTAGGCTTCTTCTGCTGTGAATCTGGGCGGAGGATAAGGGTGCGTTATTCGTTTTGCTGGGTTAATGGTGGGGTGGTTGGTTATAAAATCTGGCTTTGATCATTCGTGAGTGGTATAGATATTTGGATTTAATTTCATCGGTGTTCGATGTTTTGCGACTAGTCTGCTTAATCATAACCCCCCTGACGTTTTCTCTATATCTTCTTACACATTATCACTTTCTCGTTTGATATCGAAGTGCCGATTAGTGCAACGTTTATTAGACACAGCAGAGATGGCGAGGTATCGCTGATGGGACGTCAAATGCATTTCTCAGTAGAGTTTAAAATGTGTTTGATTATATCCTAGAGAAGTGAGACGTTGTGGAGAATTGAACGTCATACGATGGTCCTGGGTTTGATGGTTGAATACTTAAATATAGTATAGAGGTGCTTGTTGATGTTTTTGGGGGGTGTGGTCGAGATGAAGACGGTGAGAGAAGGATTGCGCGTATGGATGCATAGTTTATAGCTTGTTACTCGGCGACGGCCACGGAAGATAGTGTTACCCTTATGGATAGGACATAGCTGATGTATTTGCGTGTATGGTAAACTGCTCATCTCATATCCGACCGCAATTTCTTTAAACGCCCCGTAAAGTCCATTCCTCGCAATCGCTGCTTAACCGATCTATAGTATCTAGGTAGCTGACAACTGCTCCAAGTCGTATTCTGGCTCCCAGACATTTGCATAAGCATCCTGTCCCAATGAGAAGTTTTGCCACATGCTCAGCCCCATTCCATCTCATCATCTGGAGCGAATTTTCCAATAGCCCAATTTGTTTCTGGATCGTAATCCAAAATTCCCGCGCACGGCTCCGTGGCTCGGAGAATAGCTCTCGTGACGGGTACAGCTACGACTCCACTCCTGCCGAAAGTATCGGTCTGGAAGCCTCTAATATAGCAGGACTGTGGAATATAGGTTATTACAGCATCTCCCTCGTGTTCGTTCAGCATATAGCAACGGATGACCAAAGAATTGAGTTTTGGACACCACCCGCGCTCATGTAGATACGCAAAGAAGGCGTTGGCCCATTTTTGTGTTTGGAAAGCCCAGGCTTTCTTATCATCTTCGAACTGTTCATATGGACGAGGTTCATCCTCCAGTATGTAGTTTGATTGTCGCAAATGAAGTATGCGTAAATCAGGGGCTCGCCGTAGAGCACTCTGCCTTGTGTTAGTCATTTCTGCTGCGCTCGAGAAATACGCGTACCCACCATAAATCTATCATCCACTGTTATATGTTGGACTCTACCACCTCGATGATATGGCTGAAGATGTAGCTCTGGCAGTTGAAATCCGAATGCCTGAAGCTTGGGGCAGTGATTGAGCAGCTTCTCAAATTCAAAGAGTTCCCAATCTGCTAATTCATGCTTGTTCATCTCTGTAGTTCGTCCAATAACGGACGCGTGACTGCTGAAGGATACCAAATTCGGTGCACTCGGATGTAGGAAACTGATAACTATGGACGGGCGATCAAATATCCAACTCAAATGCAGACTTTCCAGAATTGGAGAGCATAGAATTGCGTTCAAGAAGTCCATAGCTTTCTCAAGGGTTTCGGTGGAGACAGGTGTATTCTCTTGCGTGATGTCCTGTAAGGCAAAATGCTTTAATTTCAGCGACTTCGTGTCCACCACTTTTGCCATGTCAACGAGGAAACAGTGCGAACCTTTACAACTGAGAAGGCTGAGCCGGGAAAGCTGGCCAACATCCACAAGGTTGCAAAGCCTGTCATACATAGTAGACAGGTCAAAGTGTCGTAGGGTCAGAGATTTGACATTAGCTAAATGTCCAGGATTCTTCAGTGCATTATACATGTCGATAGAAAATTCCTCGATCGGGTATATAGTCAGTGCGCAGCCTATGGACAAGGATTCCAGTGTGTCATTTAGTGATTCAAGGGCTTTTACTAGACGCACGATGGGTTCCCGACTGCCGCACAGTAAATCAAAAGTACGCAGCCTTGGCCTTTGTCTCAGCCATGGCCACAGATAAAAGCAAGTCTTGATGGTATTTTGGTAGTTTTCCATGTTGGGGTGACGTCCCTGTAGTAGTGACATCGTGCTGTCTGATTGATGCCGGCTCCCAATAAAGCTTGACGCAAAAGTCAGCTTGTTGGAGTCACAGAAATTTTGATGCATACCGATATGTTGTGAGTTGCGTGGATCTGGCGAAGAATTGTAATATAGTATCCATTGCATGATCTTTCACCGCACCTGTTACTGGCATCCCATGATTACTAACAGGAAAGTATGGGGCGTTTGGGAAGGCGAAGGAACCGGCCAAATTGCAAATGGCTTCTTCAGGTGTTTCTTCATCTTCAAAGATGAGGGTTCTGGTGTTGCCCAAATGTACACCAGCGCCGCATCCAACGCTTTGAAAAAAGGCGTCCACTCTAGGCGTGTTCCATAATGGGATGCGGACTGTATCATACAAGTATGGCGTTGCGAGGACACGCAGTGATTTTGAAGTCAGACAGAGAGCCTTGAGATCAGACATTGACACAAGCTGCAGCAGATTCAGCTGAGAGTCATGATGGGCAAGCGTGTACACTTACGCGCTCTATGATAGAGAGCCAGATATCATTCGGCAGCTCGACCCCGAGGGGAGTGCGCTTGTTGGAATAGGAGACGTCCATGCTATCGTCGGCCATGGGCCGTGCACGATGGGTGGTGTTGTCTCAGGTGCACGATGGTTGTTGCCCGCAGATGGGGTTGCTGGGTTACAGTAGCGTCGGGCTCGCTAAATCCTCGCTCCGACGCTGACTGATAGTGCGGAAACTCTTTATCGTAACTTACTATGAATTGCTTATTCGACAACGACGTCTTAGTAATCGCACGGCGTTTGGTCTGGCCCAAGTTTTGGTGGGCGCGACGGTTGACAGCGTGCAGGACGCCTTCTTCATCATATAACTCAATCGCCGCCATGTCGAGAGCCATGCAACCCATCGCACCTTCACCACACCCGCCATGACTACCCCAAAGCCAGTTCTCATTTCCGGCGCCGGCCTCGCCTCTCTCCTCCTCGCCCGCTCGCTGCACCGCTCTAAGATCCCCTTCCTTGTCTTTGAGCGGGACGCGTCTATTGTGTTCCGCGCTCAGGGCTATCGCCTCCGCCTCTCCGTCCAGGGCCTTGATGCAATTGAACATGTGCTTGGCCCCACGGGTTTCCAGAAGTTCTATGATGCTTGTGGCAAAACTGGCGGTGCCGGCTTTTCGGCCATTGACCCGCTAACGGGCGAAACACTGGGTACCGACACGCCGAGCGTGAAGAGCGAGACTCTTACAAGCAGAGAAGGCAAGGTTGTGGGCATCTCGCGTGGTGATATGCGTAAGCTGTTCATGGACGGTCTGGAAGACAAGGTCCACTGGAACCACCAGGTCAAAGCATATGAGAGGACTGAAGACGGCGTGCGGCTAGTCTTTGCAGACGGTAGCAAGAGCGAAGAGGGCTCCATGCTCGTTGGGGGCGAGGGCGTCAAGAGCGCAGTAGCGGGGCAGCTCTCCAACGGCGCTATCAAGGTCTATGATCTCGGCTCAAGAGGTATACACGGTCAGGCGTCCACGACCGCTTTCAAGAACTTGGGCGAGGGCGTCTTCCGCATGGTTGACGACACTTCCCAGCCAAACGGTGGCAAGGTCTTTCTCATCACTAACGTTCGCGCTGACGACATGGACAACCCCGATATCCAATTCGGCTGGACCATGATCGGCTCACCAGGCGTCATCAAGGCACCCAACGACAACTACACCATCACAGGCTCGCCCGCCGCGCAGATAGCCAAGTCGCTCACCGCCCAATGGCATGAGCGTGTTAAGCCGTTGTTTGACAACATGGACGAGGCCGAAGCTGCATTTTGGAAGATCACTTGTTCATCGCCCAAGGGAGTGCCTGAGTGGCCCAACGACCCTCGCGTCACCTTGGTAGGCGACGCTGTACATGCCATGACACCTGCAGGCGGCAATGGTGCCAACACGGCCGTTCGTGATTCAGCCTTGCTCGGACGTCTGATGGCAGAAGCTTGGGAACGAGGCCATGGGCAGCATTGGTCAGGTGTGACTGAGGCCTTTGAAAAGGAGATGCGCATTTACGCAAGCGAGGCTGTCAAGGCCAGCTATGGTCATGCTGTAGGACAGTTCGGGCTTGAGGGTGATCTAGAGGATAAGCCCACGCTCAACGAGTATATAACACCAAACTGAGGTAGATGTCGATACATGTACATGTGCAAATCAACACCACCTCTACATCAGTCTGTTTGGGTCTTGCGCGGTGTACTCGCACATGCCTGGGCTTCTCGACGAATGCTAGACTTTTCCAGAAAGTCTCGACTGCATGCTAACGTCTATTGATACTAGCCCACATGAGTCGTCTTCTCCCGGTGCCGAGAGAATGGAACGACGCTTCCCCGCATTGCCGACTAGGCCCACCCCCAGCTTCAAAACTCGCAGCCCCCGCGCCTCGTACATGTCGTGCGAGATTACCGATGGATCCACTCTCTTCACCACGACCACGCAAACGCCGCGCTATCAACGCCTGTGTCAATTGCCGCACATCCAAAGTACGCTGCGATGGGCATCGCCCTTGCCAGCGATGCGATAGGAATGGCTCTGCTTGTCAGTACTATGACGCTGTCAAGGATGAAAATATCATGCGCATCGAGAAGCTCGAGGCCGAAGTGGCGATCCTGCGAGACCAAATGCAGATGCCGACACGACAACTGCAGTGCCGCAATCATAGCGTAAGTCGGAAAACTAGGACGAGCTGAACAGCTATACATAATCTTCACGTACCGTCTTGAATAATTTGGTGTTCCCCGCTGTTTAGCACCTTCATCGAATATCCTTCGCAGTTACTAACACTAGTGTTGTAGTCCCCGATGGAAAACAGCAATGTGAGTGTCACAGAAGTAACGCCTCGTTCCCAGCCAGAGCGCATGGTGGCTGCCAGTGCTGTTGATGCAGGCTTTATAACATGGGAGCAAGCGACGCATTGGTTTCAAAGGTAACTCCGTCAAATCTAACCGATCGCTCATCATACTGACATGTGTAGCTTCTTCTCAGGCAGTGTATGGCCTTTCCTCAACGTCGAGCGACCTAGGCTAAATGACACAGCAATACCTCGTGCCAATATTCTGTGAAAGGCACGACAGCGTCACATCAGTATCGTCGCGAAGCGCCATCCTTTTCGATGCAATAGTCAGCATCGGCTGTCGAGCTGACGAAGGTTTTAACACAACCATTTATCGCCAACTTCAGGCTCGAGTGCGCGACCACATCACCCATCTCATCATCAACACTAGCGTCCCTACGATTGAGGATATCCAGGCCGTAACTCTGGTGGCTGCATATTCTGAAAATGGCTTTGTCTTGATTGCCATGGCACTTCGATTTGCTATGCAACTTGGATTACCTCATGCTGTCGATCGGCTAATTGGGAAAGGCCATGCTAGATCAAGAGCCATTTCCAGCGATGAGAGGGAGCTTTATAGGCTATGCAGAGTCTGGCATGGCATTTGCAACCTTGAACTTTTGTCAGTCGTACTCTATACATGAGAGAAAAGCATGCTAACGTGAATCCAGTTTCTCGCTCGATGGCGGAAAACTTCCTGGCTTGACCCTTCAGATCTCACCACGGAAGATCAGAAGCCTCCTAGCCCATCCGGAGCGTACATCAGTGGACATCCGCCTGCTCTCCCAAGTAGAGCTCAACATCATCCGTACTGAAGCGTATACCAAGATCATGGGCCGGAACAGCGACTTTCTGTCTCAACAAAGCGAAGAACAGCTGCGGATTGCGGTGGATGAAGCGAGTGTTGAGCTATCGCTATGGCTCGAAGAATGGAGAAGCATTGTTTCGACCGAGCCCATATCGCAGAGACGAGGACTTGCCTTGCAGAATCTCCAGATCCAACATGAATGGGCTATGATGACTTTATACCTCAAAGCCGTGGCGTCCTCTGGTATCGAAAATATCGCCTTCATGACTGACTTCCAGCGAGACTTCATCTGTAGAGCTAAGGAGGCAGCAAGCCGCCATTTGCACTACATGCTACAGTCATCTTCTTCGGCATCGCCAATCTCGTCTCCGGCATCGACCACACAAACCACTGCATCCACCTACCTGAGCACGTTTCGCTGGACACTAGACTATGTCTGGGCAAAATGTGCCGTCTCTGTTCTCCTCGTTCTCAAACTAGCCATACTTCTCCGCGACCCGGTTCCTGCAGTCATGGTCCTACTCCGCGACGCGCACAGGGTGCTTGAGGAACTCAAGACCGTCACCGTCGGCCACATTGCCTATTTCCAGATCCTCCAGACGAGTATCGAGAAGTGTGAGGCTGCTTTGAGGGAGTATGCTGCTGAGCAGGATCCGAGTTTAGGCCCTGAAAGCGCACCGAGCAGAAATGGAAGCCTTGCTGAGACGGAGTTCCAGGGCTATGTGCCCAGTGAGTTTGTGTTTGAGTGGGACTTTCCAGGGCTAAATTTGAAGCACATGCCGCTTGGATGGCAGGATCTGTTTGTCAATATCGATAACTTGTTCTGATACCACAATCTTTTCCGAAGAAAGCACTGGATGCACGCCGCAGGTTTAATACATGGAGATGCTTGACTTGGTGTGGGAATCTGATGTCGTCGCTTCTATTCCAAATTCGTTCCGCTGAACGCAAACGTCTAACTATGAACTAATACACATAGATGAAATCCTCATTCTTTATATCGGTCACATCATCAAATGCCTTATCACCAATCCCGCTCGTCTGGTTCTCATGCTCTTCCGCATCGCCTTCTCGCGAGGCCCCCATACTCGTGTCAATCACGACGGCCGACTTGCCCATGCTCTCTCGTGTCGCAGCATGTTTTCGGTTCATGAGCTTGATCCAAACCATGGCAAGCAAAATGAGAACGATGAGGGCGACGAAGAGGGCTAGGTTTGCGCGCAGACCTTTACGATAATACGGCTTCTCGGAGGGCTTGAAGAGTTGGGGACCGATGATGTTGCCTGAGCTGGCGCCTACGAAGAGGATGGATGTTGTGACCTTGCGCTTTGTGTCGCCGCCGGTGTTTTGGCCTGACCATGAGTAGATCAATGGCGAGATTCCGGGATAAAAGCTGGTGACTAGAACATGTTAGTTGACGTTCTCATTGGTACATGTAAGCAACTTACGGTAGTAGCCAAAGAGCAGCACGCCGCGGTGAGAGGGGCCGCGTCCGACAACCATGAGGATGATAATGCCGACAATGGGCGGAATGCACAGCAGAATCAGAACCGGCGACTTCTTCTTCAACCACGTCGCCAGCCAAGCGCCACCAATAGTCGCAACAATCTGTACAAGGCCAAATGGCATGTTAAACAGAATTGTCTGGAACTGACCAAAGCCAAAACTCTGGATGATCAAGGGGCCGAAAGCTGAGATTCCACCGCTCGGGATGCTGATCGCCATCAACATGCAGAACCACAGCCAAGTCTTTGGGTCGGTAAATGCTTCGAGCACATGGTCCCACTTCCACACACGCGATGCGACACCCATTTGGTTCATACGGAGTCGCTCGACAGCAACCAGCCGCTCGTGTTCGGTGAAGAACTTTGCTTCCATGGGCGAGTCCGGCATGAAGATGTAGACGAAGACTGACACGACGATTGTGAGAAGACCGCAGAAGAGGAAGATGATCTGGTACGAGTGTAACAGGTTCGAGTTGATGTGTCCGAGACCGTAGCATAGCAAGCTGCCGAGGATGTTCACGATACCCAGCATGGCGTACCAGGCTGCGTTTCGGTTGGTTTGCTCGCCACGCTTGTACCACATCTGAACGACGGCTATGAAAGCAGGTGCTTGTCATCGTTAGTACACTGCATGCTTTCAATTGAGGTGGGAGTGTGACTTACCAATTGCAGCTTCAAAAGCACCCAGCAAGAATCGCGTTACCATCAGCCCAGTAAAGTCCTTTGCAGCAGCCATGCCGCACAGGATACATCCCCAAGTAAGCACCATAACGCCCATGAATTTTCCCATGCGCAGCTTGACTAGCAGCACGGCCACGAGGGGCTGCGCTACCAATTGTGCAATGTATACAATACTTCCCAGCCAGGAGTACTGTTGGGACTTTGGGTCGAGGTTCGCATCTTCGATCAATCCAAACACGGAAGCGTACGATAGGGTAGTTTTATCGAGCGATTGGAGAAAGTAGACGCTAAGGAGAATGGGAAGAATGACAAGGTCGATCTTCTTCAGAACTCGTGCGTTCTCAGCTTCGGTTACGATGATGCGTTCGTTCGAGGCAAGTAATGCGGCGGCTTTATCCTTGCCCTTTCCACCGGAATTGTCAACGTGCTTGTGGATAGACTCTGTGGTTTCGACTTGAGGTTTGCTGACGTCGATTGTAGTAGTCTCTGGCTTTTGAGACATGGTGGAGAAAACGATGGGAAATGTTCCCCAGAAAATCTTGATAGTGGTGGCCCCAGAAGTGGATTTGGCCGACAACACTTATACTACCACCCCATGGGGACCCCAGACGGCGATCCTAACTCGTTGTGGGTTGGCGGAGGGCTGGTGCCGGCCGAGGATGCCGAAGGCTAATGTTGCGGGGGCTCGTCTCGAGCATGTCACGAGCCTTGACACGAAGGATACGGTTCCTTCAGCAGGTGACTCATGGGAGCTTCGTGCGAGAGTCGTATCCAAGTTTACGACTATAAGTATACCTCTTTCTGGTTATGATAATTGGCGAGATAGAGCTTGTCCACGATTGAAAGCAGGTTTCATCATGCCGATGCTTGAGCACGTCCCGTCTGGCTACCACGCCGCCCCCACATCGGCATCCTCCAATACGGGTGTTGAGCTCAAGTCCAAGGCAGGCGACTTCAACTTCACATTCGATGCATTACGGCCGGGACTTTTCCGCACAACTTTCACCTCGCCAAAACACCCTCTTCCACCTCATCGAGCTACACCAGTACCCGCAAAGACGCTTGGTGCTGCGGACGCGTCTGTACTCTCTTCAAATGCCACTTCAAAGTTGCTTTCTGTAGACGACGTGACCGCCAAGGTAGATTGGGAAGGCGGGACACCCATTGTTTCCTTGACGCTTGCTGGGCAAACTACGCCAATCCACACAGACCTCCCCTACCGATCCTACTGCGCTGACGGGCCGGGCGTCTCCCATTACACCCGCTACAACCATGGGACGCTGCATCTCGGTCTTGGCGAGAAGCCAGCACCAATGGATCTCTCGAACCGGCATTTTGTGCTCTCGGCAACCGACTCCTTCGGCTACGATGTATACCGCACAGATCCCCTGTACAAGCACATTCCATTACTCATCAATGCCACACCAAATGGTTGTGTGGGTGTCTTTTCAACCTCGCATGCGAGGGGTTTCTACTCCGTCGGCTCGGAGATGGATGGTATGTGGGGGCGCTTCAAAGTGTACCGCCAAGACTATGGTGGCCTGGAAGAATATCTCCTCGTTGGAAAGACGTTGCCAGATATCGTCCGCATCTATGCCGATCTTGTCGGATATCCGCTGCTTGTTCCGCGATGGGCGTTTGGATACTTAGCCGGTGGCATGAAGTATTCCATGACAGACGACCCGCCAGCGAGTGAGAGCATGATGGAGTTTGCGAGAAAGCTAAAGGAATACGACATTCCCTGCTCGGGCATGCAGATGTCTTCTGGGTACACGGTTGCTGAGACTGAGCCAAAGACCAGAAACGTGTTCACTTGGAATCGCCATCGCTTCCCGGATCCCAAGGGCTGGATCGATGCCTACCACAAAGAGGGTCTGCGAATCATCGCAAATGTGAAGCCATACGTCTTGGGGAGTCATCCAGAATACGAGAAGCTCAAAGCGGCTGGTGCCTTCTTCACAGACTCGCTGACTTTGGCACCTGCTGAAGCTCGTCTCTGGAGTGCGGGAGGTGGCGAGAGCGGTGTCGGCGGCCACATCGACTTTACTTCCAAAGCTGGATACCAGTGGTGGTATGAAGGTGTCCGCGAGTTGAGGCGGATTGGTATCGACTGTATCTGGAACGATAACAACGAATACACCGTTCCACACGACGGCTGGGAATGCGAGCTAACCGAACCAAGTCTCCTCCAAGAACCTAAGAGCTCAACATACGGCAAGAGTATCGGCTTCTGGGGCCGTGCATTGAACACAGAGCTCATGGGCAAGTCGTCTTACGATGCTGTACTTGAGATGGAACCCGCAGAACGACCTTTCATCCTAACTCGCAGCGCCACAGCTGGCACTCTGCGGTATTGTGCCAGTTCCTGGAGCGGAGATAACGTGACCTCATGGACTGGTATGAAGGGAGCTAATGCGATCTCCCTAACCGCCGGTATGTGTCTGATGCAATGTTACGGCCACGACATTGGCGGTTTCGAAGGTCCACAGCCCAGCCCCGAACTGCTCGTCCGCTGGTGTCAACAAGGCATCTACAGCCCACGCTTCGCAATCAACTGCTTCAAAACGGGCAAAGACAACAATGTCGGCGACGTAATCGAGCCCTGGATGTACCCCGAAACCACAGCCCTAGTCCGAGACACAATCAAGCGCCGCTACCAACTAATCCCCTACCTCTACTCCCTCGCCCTCCACTCCCACACGACCGCCACACCGCCGCAGCGCTGGACAGGCTGGGGCTACGAGTCCGACCCAGAAATCTGGAACAACAAGGTCCTCACAGATGGCGAAACACAATATTGGCTCGGCGACGCCCTCCTCATCGGCGGCGTCTTCGAACCCGGCGCCGAAACAGCGAAAATGTATCTCCCCAAAGACGCCTCTGACCCCAACGCCGCCTTCCTCGATCTCAACAATGAACCGCGAACATACTACCCAGCAGGCCAATGGGTCGACGTCCCCTCAAAATGGACAACCAGCATTCCCGTCCTGGCGAAGATCGGAACCGCGGTCCCCGTCGGCAAAGCCGTACAAACCCTCTCTCAAGGCGAAACTAGTAACCCCGCCAACCTCCCTCTCGATGACTACCGCGGCGTGGAAATTTTCCCACCAAAGGGTGATTCGGGTGGTAAGGTGTATGCGACGAGGTGGTATGAAGACGATGGCGTATCGCCGCCGCCGGCAAAGATATCGGTTTTCACGATCAAGTATCAGACGACTGAGACGGAGGTGCTGGTGTCGTACGAGGAGAAGCTGCAGGAGGGTTTTAGGCCGGCGTGGAAGGAGGTGAGCGTTATCTTGCCGAGGGGGGATGGGAGGGGTGTAGTGTTCAATGGGCAGAATGCTGAGAAGGGGGAGGGTGATGAAAGTGGGAAGGTGCACTTTAAGGGGGTGGTTGTGCGGTAGCATTGGAGGAGATTGAAGAAGTTTGTTTCTTAGGGCAGCTTGGCTGAGTATGTTGGATGACGTTGAGAGTGCATGTGGTGTATCTGACATGGTCTTTCCCACCTTTTCCCTGATGCTCATTCGATGAGCTGACTTGTCGTAAGTGTGCGGTCTTGGAATGAGGTCTTACTAGCAAAATCCGGGGTATAGTCGATCTGGACGATGCTCGCTATCTCGAGACGACCCAAAACTTTCCTTTACCTATCACGGGCTAAGGGCTCTCTCCGATCACGGATTTGCTGCGTCGATGTGATCATTTGAGGACCTCACTATAATACACGTTACAAGACTATACCAGACGTAGTAGTAGTGCTTAGCTTTTGATTCTCTTTGAGTCTCGGCCCTTTGGCCTTGAAATAAGTAGCTGACAGAGCCTGAGTAATAGGTTTGTTGGCTGCTGCGTACTGAACAGTAGCGTTGTAAGCAATAAGCGCATGAACCATTTTACCCTGTTCGATCGACCCCCCATAGTTACGCCTTGCACATCACTGCGGGTAAATTCCAGATGCCAGGCTTGTGGAATGAAGCAATTTCCCAGAACATAATCTAGATAGCCGACGAAAGATTTGGGAGCCGTGTACCCCGAAGGATCGACGTTGCGAGTGAGAAGCGTAGCGGAGAGATGACAGGTAGTTACCGTATGGATGGCGGCGGAAGGCGAAATCCTGTCTCGGCAGCGACTACCTTGTTAACTTAGAACCTTGCACCCTACCACCTACACGGTTAGCTGCTTACCGCTACGGTACGCCCCGAACCTCAGCTCCAGAACAACCAACTTCCATTCACCACAATCGTCGTTTTCGCGGCCGTTCGCGACCAAAACTAATGCACATGGCTTGCGCCACTTTCAATCGTCAGGCTATGAGATGAAGTTTTCTGATTAGGGATGGCTGCCGCGTTGCCCCGGCCGCACATGCTTCCCCGTTCGTTCCTCCACAGTAGGTGCGCATGCCCACGCTCAACTCCGATGAAGCTCGACAGTGGCAAGATGCATGTAGCCTGTTGCTGTATGTCGAACCAAGATGTGCTATTCGCTTAGAACGCTTTACTCGCGCCCATGATCACAAACAGCAAAAAGCATCTCAAAACCACCACACCGAAACGATCACCACCAATCAGCCACACTTCTCGTATCGAGATCGCGTACTTGCCCACAGCTGATTGCTGGAGAAGTTCGAGGAGCCAACAAGTCTTCACGAGATGACGATCCGGAACCTCTACCGCAAAGACACAGCACATGCGTCGCGTTCCGTAAATTTGCGGGTAAAAGCCCAGGGACCGAGAAAACCTCTAGCGCAAGGTTCGCAGCGCTGCGAAGCGTGTATTTCGGGCAATTAACTTTCTTCGGAACAGGAATCTGTCGGAGCGGTGAAGTATTGTAATCTATGCCACAGAGGCAGTCGGACGCAAAAATTGACAGGGCTGCTTGCTGTTCGAAGTATGGCACCTAGTAACCGATACAGCGACATCGGTGCCCCCACTGAACCACCCCGGCTTTGCAGATAACGGGAACTAGGATTTTAGGTGGGTTTGTTGGTGAGTGACCCATTTCTTCGTTGTATTGGCAGGATCAAATGTTCCGTACGCTCGAGCCACTTTCACGACGATAGAACGACCGAAATAAGGGCCGCTAGTCGATCGGTATCTTCCACGCACGAAGCATCACAGTAAGCTGGCAAAGTTACCTGGTGTGGAGGGAGAGATAGGTAGAGCACTCGCAAGAAGTCGCCCAAGATCTCCTTCTCGTGCAACTTTGCCGCGAAGTTGCACGGGCCTACTTTCGATTTCGCCTTATGGGTCGCTCTACTATGATTTCCCCGGCACCGCAATTTCTGCTTACAAGATCTGCATGAAATCATTTTCCCTTCGAGGTTCTCCGCCATCTTCATTCTTGTTAACCTCCGCTGTGGATTAGATGAAGTGAAAGGCACAATTTAAAGTGCGGGAGCAGGAATGCAGACGTTAGCGGCACTGCTTGCTACGGACCAGCGCTAGGGGGACACATGATCTCTTAGAAGACCTGGTGCTTGTTTCATGGTAACTCAAAGACCTTTATAGAGATACATTAAGCATTGGACCTTCTGCAAATACATCAGTTTCCACGATATCAAGGAAGCTTAGACGAAGTGTAATGGGGTCGATCAGGCACAGAGTACATCAGACAAGCCTCATAAGCCTGCGCAAGATCAGAGAAGCACTGGAACCCTCGTGGCAAATAGAACAAGGCCGATGAACGGGTAGCTGGTGGGTCCAAAATGTTCAAACAGTACATGATAGACAGAACGCTAATGCAAACAGATAGGCGATCTCGACCGGTGTGCGGCACAAATAACTTTCTGGCGTGATGCCGCTGGGAACACGCCATGAAAATTCCTCATCTTGCAGCAATGCTCCGGACTGCGTGGTGAACGGCTGCGGTGTTAATATACACGTCCTGTTACTATTGCGCCCTTTGCAGGGAATATGGTCCAAACTGACTAAGGGCTTTAATATTACACAACAACGCTAAAGAGGAAACCGTAAGCACTAGACTAGGAGCAGCGCAGATTGGCGGCCAAGAACATGACGCTACAAATGTCGGAGCTCAGTGTACGGGGAATACTATACAGTCTTGCCGCTGCAGGTCGAAGCAGGTAGGCTGTGTCAGTGTCGCCTATATACAGGCCGCGGGGAAAATTACCGGAACCTTTACCTGTTTAGCATCGGTCAATGAACTTGGCATCTGCATGGCAAGTTTGGCAGGGCAGAGTGGAAATGTAGGATTTATAAATATACAGGCGTTCGCCTAATGCACAGAGACATCACCTCATTTTCAGATTCACTCCTCACAATGAAGTTTTCAATCTTCTTCCTCGTCGGCCTCGCTGCCAGCGCCAATGTCACTGATCGGCCAAAGTACATGGAGAATGACGCATTGGCTCACCAAGCGTTGGTCAACTTGAAGGCCCATGTCTCGAACGGATACCCTGGAACGGGCAATTGCACTCTCGAGACTGCACTTGTGCCGCAGTGATCGGAATGGTCTGGTCTGACTAAGACTTGGTCTGGTCTGGCGATTTTTTGAGACCGTGGTCGGACCGGTCTAGATGATCGGGACCGGTCCGGCTATAAATAGGTCCACGTGACTAGATCTTAGACTAATCTAGCCAGAAAATTTAGCACAATATGAGTCATTAAGATCAAGGTAAGTCTTCTACTTACATAGAACAATCAAGTCCTTAACAACCTACTTATATACTATTGTTATGGAGCCTTCAACACCAACCTCACCGTCCCCATCGAATATTATAAGACTAGATTTAACGTCTCTTACTCCATCTCCTATCCCCACGTCATCACCCACCCCTATACTATCACCCACTCCTATTCAATATCACGAATCTCCAGATGAGTTCGTGCAGGGCGGTATCACGTACGTGAAACGTGCAATAATTGCAAGGAAGGATTTCCGTCAAGGTACATCACACATCTGGAAGTACGGACTCCAATACATTCGAGATAGCGATAAGAAAGAGGTGTATTACTGCCATGAGTGCAGGGTTGGGAAGAGCAAGCAAGAGTTGTTTGTCATCAATGGCACTTCTAGGATCCGGAATCACCTGGAACAGAAGCACCAGATTGATCCCCAGAGTGGCATCAAGCGAAAGGGTTCTGTACGGAAGTCTATAATCGACCAGCAAAAGGATGGGGCTGCTTCCAGCATCTTTTTCTGGAAGGAGTCAGTAGAGAAGTTTAAAGAGCTTCTAATTCGTTGGATTGTGTACTGCCATATCGCCTTCTTTCAATTAGAGAACCAGTACTTTCGTGAACTACTCCTCTTTTTAAATCCGGCACTACTCAACCACCTCCCGAAGGCTGCGAAGACTATCCGAAGCTGGGTAATGAATGCATTCATATCGAAGAAGCAACAGCTTAGGGAGGACCTACACCATTCACGGAGTAGGATCTCTATCTCCTTTGATCTCTGGACTTCACCAAACCCTTACGCTATCCTAGGCGTCGTCGCTATGTGGATTGATACTACCGGCATGCGACGTGTTACCGCTTTAGGTATGCGACGTATATACGGCGAACATACTGGAGAGAATCTTGGATCGGTGGTCCTTGAATTGCTGGAAGAATACGACATTAGCGGAGATCAGATTGGATACTTTATGCTGGATAATGCCTCGGCAAATGATACCGCTGTTGAGTTTATACTCAAGGATCTCTGCCCATGGATGAAGTCAAAACAACGTCGTCATCGCCGGCTGCGTTGCTTGGGCCATGTCATCAACCTCTGTTGCCAGGCGTTCCTTATGGGGCGAAACTGTGAGAAGTATCTTGCGAAGCTGGAGAAGCATCATCAACGTGGCGACTATACGAAGGTGGAAGAGCTCTGGAAGAAGTTCGGATGTTTGGGTCGTCTTCACAACCTGGTGCGATACATCAGGCTTACTCCACAACGGCGTGAGGAGTTTGCTACAATTATTATCGGCGGAGATCTTTCGCAATTCGACGGGCTTGAGCTTATCCAGAACAACTCGACCCGCTGGAACTCATGGTTTTATTCGATTACACGTGCATTAAATGTTCGAGAACGTTTAGAGCTCTTCTCGGCTCGTCATGTACCTGGAAAGGGCTCCGTAGGGATCGCGAACTTTAAGCTTGATGGACAGCACTGGTTTGAGCTTGAAAAGATTGAACTCGCTCTCAAAGACTTCTATGCTGCAACTTTGCTTTCTGAAGGTAAGAAGACGTCACTTGCGGACTGGTTTTCAACTTTGGACTGCCTTCTCCGGGAGATAAGCGAGACGAAGGATCACTACCACGACATCCACACTGAGGACGATAACAACTTTACATGGAAGTACCTTCAAGGCTGCGCTGATGCTGCTTGGTTAAAGTGCGTTGAGTACTATAACAATCAGCAGCTGAATTGGCAAAATCGATTCCCTGAAGATACTGACCTTCCACCGGCATATTATGCGGCTCAAATCCTTGATCCATATCGCAAGTGGGGATGGTTCAGGCAAGAGTGGGTTCTTCATGGCGACGAAGAGAAGAAGAGGTGGTTTGAAAACGCACAATTAGCGGTGAAGCATCTCTGGGAGACAGAGTATAAGGGAAGGTACCCTGTCGAGATGCTGCCACCACCAGCCAGGAAGGAGAGAGATCCTGACCCAGCATTTGATCGCCAGCGGGAACATAAGCGCATTCGAATAGACGCTCCAGTTTCTACAACTGATTTGTATGAACAATACATCTCTACTGACCGGCTTCATAACGAAGAGGCAGGTTGCAATGAGGCTATTGCGTACTGGCTATCTCGCTACGACTCCCAACGAGATCTCGCTCGCTTCGCTCTAGACATGTTTGCGATCTCGCCTATGTCGGATGAATGCGAACGTCTTTTTAGTAGCGCGAAGCTTACTATCGTCGATCGCCGTGGTAGGCTGAAGGCAGATATTATAGAAGCGTGCGAGTGTCTCCGGGCCTGGTATGGAAAGCCCCAAGCTGAGGGGAACAGCGATATCGAGGATAGTGAGAACGAAGACGACTAGATTGACAGTCAGTAGTAAAACACATTTCCTCGGCTTCCTTCTTTGCTTCAGCCTCATTCTTGGCGGTCTTGTTGGTCGGACCGGTCTGGTCGGACCGGTCCTTATGTAAGCACCTGGTCTGGTCTGGTCTGTACCCTCAGACCAGACCAGACCAGACCATTCCGATCACTGGGCCTGACAAGGAGATCTGCTATCAATAAGACCCTGGTCATTTTCCTTCTTATGCTACGGTCTGCAGTATATGCTCTTCTATCATCGTCTCATTCATCGATGAATTCTTCGTCAACCGCAACGACGCGTAAACTAGAAATAGTCGCGAATCAGATAGTTTGACATCACGTGTTGCGATTGCATGTCAGATTCGGCGATCGTGTCAGCCCGGACTGTGCCAAGGTTTGCGGGGTACAAATCTATAATAACCTGATGGATTTGGCGTATCTGAACCTAAACAAAATGTGGATGAAGAAACGCATCAACATGAAGAAAATACTACGCTTCAGCAACCTCCACAAACACCCACCCAGGCTCCACATAATCCGACCATTGCAGCGGGTGCCTCCCCTCAAGTTGCGCCGGTATAGACGCAAAGTGAATATTCTGCTCGGCAAAACACCGATGCAGCTTAGCAAAATCTGGTGGAAAATGACCCAAGAAAGGCGGCCAATCTACCACCGCAACACGCTTCAGCAGGTTCAGCTTTGACGGTGCAAGAGCGGCGATATAACACAACATCTCTGTCGGCCCAACCCACCCCTTGGAGCCCCAACTGTCCTGCCAGTCAATCTCAAAAGTCATCTCTTCCAACGTCGACGGGAGAAATCGCACTAGGTGCGTGACAAAGTCTTCGGTACATTGATCCGGGTTATCGTCGTGGGATAGCAAGCCCATATCCAAAGAGCGGAGATACTTCATACCTGAGGCTAGTCGCGCTACCTGCAATACATGCGTCTGATCCAACTTCCTCGCGTCTCCACGTATACTAAGGTGTTCCAAAGTCGTAAGAGTGTGAGTAAGTGGGGAAGCAAGAGTGCTAAATCGCGAGGAAGAAGGAAGCTTGTACTGCCGCATACGATGATCGTTGTAATACTCATGCTCATATGCAAAGCTCTTTAGGTTCCTGCACGCCGCTGTAAAGCACCCCAACGTTGATATGCCAACACACGAGCGTTTCAGCGTGATGTTCTCGACTGCAGAGGAGCCTGGATCTAGCACGGTTTGGAGCGGCATGTCGGAGTTCCACTCTAGCGGATCTCCTTCAGGGCGGTCCAGCAGTACGAGATCCGTTGCAGTGACTTTGCGGAGAGAAGGGAGAAGGAACAAGTGTGCGAGCTGCTCCATGCTGAGTAGTGAAGCGTGGATATGAACGCTCTTTAGGTGAACCAGTCGATCAGGGTTCGCGGCCATCATTTTGAACAAGTATACGCTTCCCATCCACGCGTGTGTATCCTTGATGATGAGCTTGTGCAGATTTGGCGTAAACATCAGGAATGTCTCCATAAACTCGTGGAACAACCAGGTCTGGGAGCGCTGCATATCGCAGCATGCGGCGCCGCTGATTTTCGGAATCCTCAACTCGTCGAGGGAATTGAAGAGTGTTGGTTTGTTGGCGGCGGTGTCGTGCTTCTCTTTCATGTTGTACCGCCATGTCACTTTGTGGACACGTGATGCCAGCTCCGGGCTTAAGAAGATGGTGCGTAGGAGTGGCCATGGTGACCTTACTGTGAGATGGCCGTATAGATGGTCCAGCGAGAGCATGCACATGCGGCGACTAGTGAGACTTAGATTGAGCAGGTCCTGGATGTTCTCTTGGTCGATCCGTTCGACGATGCTCAAGATGAGCTCGTTGGGAAGGCTGAGAAAGGGAGATTTGGATGTGGTTTCACTCGCCATCATGGGTATACGGTACCCCAGTGTTGATCGGTACAGTTGCTACGTTGGGTTGTATTGCAAGGCCCAAGGGTTGATCGCGAAAGTGATCGTCGGGATGCACGAAGAGGGTGAGTGCGCCGGGCGATTCCCCGCGATGTGGTTGCGCTAGACTAGTGCCTGGGCGCGGTTTCAGCTGGTGTTGATTCACGTGGCTCGATGCCGATAGTTCCGGAGGCCATGTCTATCACTACCCTTCATGGATAACACAACTGCATAAACAAATGGATTGTCGTCATATCGTGTCATTGCTATGGTTATCTGACTTTTATCAAACTCAGGAGCCATTAGGCTTTTCATGACTGGACGGTCCGCGGCACATCCTTATCCCCGAGCATATTTGAATGATACCAAAATGTAGTTGTCTTGCAGACCACAAGCCAGTCTGGCTCGATGTCGTCCCGCACAACGAGCGGCTCCTGACCGATGATTTCTTCGTGTAGCACATCAAACTCCATACCCAACTCCTCATATGCCTTTTTTAAACTCTCGGCTGCTTCTGGGAACGGAAACCAACCTGCCAGAGCTGGCCAGTCGCAAATGGCAACCCTTTTCAGATCATAGTTCCACCGGGCAGCAATTTCGGCAAACAGTCGCAAATAGTTGAGGAATTGCAGCAAATGGTGTGGTAACGAATCCCTGGGCGTTTCGGTCGCTTGACCCCATTGTAGGTATAGGGTCTCCAAAGTCCGAGGGATAGCTCTCACACTACGCTCAACGTGAGATTCTCGGAGGCGGATCGACTTTACGCTACTGTCGCTGGGTGACAGTTGAGCTCCTAGGAAAGTTTCTCCGCTACAGGGGCCGATGTCCAGAGTGCGAAGGTTGGGATATGTAGGCTCGTCGAATACCGGAGCAGAACCTAGGAGCCATGCGATCTCTTCGACATTACTAACTCTCTCAACGTGTAGGCGCAAATACTCGAGCGATTTCCAGTGGGCTGGCACGTTCACGAGCGCTTGAGATTCTGCATAAATGGGGAACGAGAGATCATTTTGAAAGTGGTCGTATGTGAAGCTCTTGAGGTTGTTCAAAGGTTCAAGCAGCGCACGCACTGATGAAAATGTGATGTGGCTCTCCCGTAAAGAAAGATGTTCAAGGGACGAACCGTCAGCGAGCCTTCGCTGTACGTAACCGTCGCGGCCGTTGCTCCATGAGAAGTCTCTTCCAAGTTCTTGCCGCATCGTGACGCACTGTACAAGTACCAACTCTCGAATCGAAGGTAATGTCAGTAGAGGCACAATGTTCTCTAACCGCAACGGACCGTAGAGCATAATCGATTTGAGGTTCTCAAAGTATGCCGGATTGGCAGCTACACTCTCAAACCAATACGAATGATCATCCCACTGCCATACATCCCACACGCATAGCCTCTCGACGTTGGGTGTGAAGAAGAGAAAGAACTCGAGATACCACCAGTGCACTTCGTACTCTGAAAGAAAGCTTATGAAGCGTGCAGGCAAATTCATAGACGTATCCGTCGTGTTCAGAATACATCCGAGTGCTTGGAGCTTGGTCGAAAGGACGTGTCTGTCCGCCAATGATAGCATTCGACGTCGAGCTGGACCCTTCCAGTGGTCTTGGTACCACTCCACTTCTTTAACAAATGTCGCAAGCTTTTGGCATTTCTCTGGTTCCGAGAGTGCAATTGTTCCCAAAAATGGCTCTGGAGCGTGGCCTGGGAATCTTTGGTAGAGCCGGGGAAGTGATAGACGATAGAGCTGCCGGCTCGTTATGTTGAGGGCGCGGAAGGTGGCGAGGTCATCGGAATCAAACTTGTCGAGAATGGCGAGTATTAGCTCCTCTGGAAGTGAAGCAAGGCTTCTTTCGGGTGGTTTCGGTGAACCCATTCTGGTGGGTCTTTTTGGTGGTGAGGTTGAGCGAAGTAGAGACCACGCCTGTGTGCGCGGGGATCGTCGTGACTAAGCAGCAGTGTTCTCTAGCGGCTTGGCAAACAACGGCCTGGGATTTGCGTAGCTGAACACCGTGTGCGCAGTCTTCTATCACACCTAGCGTCTTATGATCACAGTTAATATATTTGATGGTGCAAAATAGAGGCGTGGTCAGTAATGTTGAGATTTAGGATCACAGGAGCGATATCCACTAGCTTTCCTTCCCTACCTACCTAGGTACGTGCCCATGGGCCAATGCTCACGACTAAGAAGTTAGAGCATATCTGTTTGAGCTGCACATAATGTTTGAGAGGATGGGTTTCATTCACATCGAGGGACTGCATACCATATGGAGATCATATTGCCGACAATAGTAATTAGGGAAGATCAAGCTCGGCCAACATGAAATTCCTTGGTGACGAAAATGGCATTCGTCTTTCCTCCAAGCCCATGCAACGGTAGCACACTCTCGTAGTTATCATGTCCTGGCCTCGCATACCAAACTGAGCGATCCATAGCAGTGCTTGACGCCCTATTAGCCGATCTAAATTCCGAGAGAGCTATTCCAAGCTTTGATTGATCTTGCTTATAGTAACTCAAAGCGTCTGGCCTCTCATGTGCGCAGAGAAGTCAACAAACAAAACAACCAACATTTGAGGCGTAGATGTTGATTGACTGGCTCATTTCTTAGGGCTACAGTTTGTTTGTTTGAGTTGATGAGACTGAAGAGCCAATTTTTGGTTGGTTGATTGATTGAATATTGATAGACTTAAGGTTCTGAAGGGACGTTTCTATGACAATTCTGCAGGCGGCTCTTCCCACGTTCCTATCGCAAACTCTTCCGTGAGCTCCTCATCAGTATGCTTTGCTGCTGTTGTCGTGCTTGGTGTTGTAAAACCTGCACGAGTCCACCGTTGCAAGCACACCAAAGCAGCCAGTAACTGCGCGCCAATTTTCCGCCTTTGTGGCTCAATTATATCGCCAGTTCCCGCAAAAACGCGCTCACAATCAGAGCTGGAGGCGGGTATAGTCAACACGTCGATCGCCAATCGTGAAAGATGTGGATACTTCGGCTTCAACGATAACCAGTACTGTACAGCTGTTGGACCCTCCTTGTGTTGATCAGACGTCCACATAGGCTCTTTTAACCAGCTATCGTACTCATCCTCCACCTCCAATGTATGCTCGCCGTCCTCATCTAGTATAGCGTCGATAGCGTCGTCAAAGCTGCTCATGGTAGGTTTTGGCGCAGGGGTTGGTGTTGTGGCAGCAGCGGCAGGCTTGTAGGCAGCCCAAACCCGCAGAAACTTCGCGTGCGCGGTGCTCAATTGTGTAGGTTTGTCGCGCCAGAAGCGCTTAGAGTATGTTTTATATCGTGGATGTAGTGCCGTAGCTGCGTAGTAAATGGGACTTTGGAGGATCTTAGTAAAGTAATTGCTCGCTTTTCGCCTCGCGGCTCGCAGGTTGATCGGGATGTGATCTTCGGGCGCCTCAGATGGCTCGTGGTTGACCGATTCGTATGGCCGAAGGCGTGCATCCAGCTCAGTTATCACACTCTCAAATACTGGGATGACCTCGTAGAGTGCGCCAAAACGGCCACACTTGCCGCGGCCTTGGAGGCGATCTGTAGCAAACTTGAGCGGCTGCAGTATCGCCATGTACTCAGTAATCACCGCCCAGTCAGCCGCCGTAAGGCCGTCTGACCTCATCCACCGCGGCACATCAGGCAGCTTGTTTCCTCTAATAGCTGCCTGTTCGTCAGCCTGTTCAGTCTCGCGAATGTGGTACGTGGCGTATGCGTTGATAGCTTGTTGGAGCTGAACTCCGCGCTTAAAGCAGTCGTAATAGCTGTTCCAACGTGTAACACACGGCTTAATTGGCTCGCGAGTGCCGCCGCTGGCGCCTGTGGGCATGCTGTTAACTGCCTCGCGTTGGCAATCTTCAAAAATACTCCACTGCTTCGGCGTGTTGATGTAGTGATATATCAGATACACGCAAGCGGTCTTCTTTCGCACTTCATGTAAAAATCCTCCATCTTTGTGTCTCCAGGGCGTTGTTATACGCGTCAGCATCCCTCCCGAACATAATCGTTTGGCCAACAAGGTTAAGTATGTGGCAAGCGCAGCGGAGGCGGCGATCGGAGGCAGAAAAGTGGTACATCGCGGCGAGTTTGTTAACAGCGGTGTCGTTATTGTAAGCGTTATCGAGCACAAAGTAGCCGAGTTTGCTGCGATTAATGCTGAAGGATTGCAGGATTTTGGTTACAGCGTCAGCTATCGCCTCACCAGTGTGGGCACCCACCAGCTGCGGCAGCGCGATGGGTAGGTCAACTATCGCGCCCTTACTGTTGGCGTAGTGAGCAACTACAGAAAAGAAGCCACGTTTGCCGCCTTTTGTCGTCCACCCATCGAAGCTTATATGTACCTTGCTCTCGGCTTCAGCCAACGCGCGCACCACCTGAGGCCGTAGCCAACTGTACAACCTCATCACGAACGCTGACACGCTGTTATGAGACCTCCATAACGCCGCCTCTGCCTCAGGATTAGCAAGCCTGATCATCTTGCGAAAAGCCGGCGTCTCAAACTCGCGGAGTGGTCTGTTGTTGTCGACCAGCCAGAGCGCAGCTGCCTGCCGAAATTCTTGTACGTCGAAGTTTCCTATAGTCTTGTACGCCTCTAGACTAAATTTGACACCGCTTAGAGCTGCCTGACGAAGTGATTGTTGTCCATGTTTGCGGAGAGGTTTGCTTAGGATTGGACCATCTTTGCTGAGCCGATGACCAGGTTTATCAAGCTGGAGGTGCCCGTTGGCGGCAGTGGTTGACTTCGTTACTCGGTGTACACCATTAGGTAGCTTATGAATATGACAGTACTTGCACACAAAGTACAACTCATCTGGGTGGTGAGTACCCTCCTTCCAGACACGCCAGCCGTGTTGAAAAATCCAGCTTGCCTTGCCTCGTGGAGTGCTCAGCGGCGCGACAAACCCCTTTAATCGCGACCAATCGACGCCCTCAAAGTCGCGAAAATCGACGCTCACAGCGCTATCCTCCTCCACCGAAGCCTCAGTGGCAGCGCTAGAGAAAGCTAAAGGCTGTACAATAGAGTCCTCTGGCTTATCAAACATTAACTGCGACTCCCAGGCTGGCTCATCAGTGAGCCGAGAGGCTTGTGAGGCAGCCAAAATAGGCAGTGGTGATGCCCGCCGAGGGCGCTCCTCGGGTTGTTGTACAGGCTTACATGGCGGTTCAATAGCCCGTGTGGGCGGCTCGATAACTTGTGTAGGCGGCTCTGTAGGCGGATCCGGCGTACTTTCTGGCAGCTCTATCGGCTGGGTTGGCTGGCTGCCGTCACCCAACAGCGCTTTGAGCGTAGGTTTGCGCGTACGTTGTGCTCGCTTGAAGGGAGTATCAGCTTCTTCGGCAGCCTCGGGCTTGCGTTTTGCTGGTATAGAGGGCATGGATAAGGCTAAAAGTAAGCCGGAGCCGCGAGAAAGTAAGGTGTTGTTAAATGTTATAAGCCTGATGTCAGTAGCACTAGGAATAGAACATGTGTGAATCGTGTTGTGTATTGTGCTACAGGAATTGAGATCTATGTCTCTGCCAGCTAGCGTTGTGGGCGCTAAGCCTCGTACGTACTAGCCTGGAGTGAGTGAGAGATGGGATGGAACCTAGGTCATATAACTTACACGCGAGTAGGCTTAGTAAGCAAGATCCAACACTAAGAATTCGTCGTTGAGCAGCTATCCCAGAGGCCTCACCTAGGTATCCCCCTCCCTCGCTTACTATCAAACAACACCAATCCTATCAACATTTTGTTCTCAAGATTGGTTGATTGATTGACAGAAATACAGTGGCTAACTGTTGGTTAGTTGGTTGGCTCCGAATCAAACAAATCAAACAACAATATTGATGAGATATTGATTACTGACAACCTTGCATGTGCGGAGACTGTACCCGATCCCATAGCAGTCTTCTCTCGCGCCGCTTTTAGCATGCGAACGAACAATGGTTTCAATGCAGGAAGCGACCCGGCAATAATGCCGACAGTAAGCTCGACATAGTTCCACATCATCCATTTGTCATGGACAAAGCGCCGCGGATCCTTGAGTATGGTGTTGAAAGCGGTTGCTCGAAAAGCTCCGGCGGCGCCGACAAAGATTCCGAGGGACAATATCGCAATGAGCGATATACGTGTTCGGAGGTTGACACTGAGTTGCCAGATCAACGTAACAGGCAAAAGCGCAAGGAGAAAATCTGTTAAGCAATTGATCACTATAGATGAATGAGTCGCATTCAAGATGACAAACCATATGGGCACAGTTACTGACTAGCATTGAAGAGAGCAATATCACCAAAGGTTCTCTTGCTGAAACATCTCGCAGTGCCGTTGCCGAGCGGTGGTGGCCGGAGGCTGAAATTCCAGCTGGCTTCTATTGGCAGACAGGCCCAAATCTGTATATTTTACAGTGGTAAGTACAGGATTTGAGATAAAATCGAAGTGAGCCGGCCTTACTGGACAAGATTAGTACCGTGTCGCATTACCCAGCAGATAAAACGTACCCAATGTACCAGTGCATGCCAGCATGAAGGCCAAGAGAAACACATTCAGGCCATACAAAAATACTCTGTAGGCTCTCACAGTGGCGAACCTTAGTAGAAAGAACGCAACTGATATCTTAACGATCGTCACCGCAGCATTGCAGATGATCTGATGTGCATATCGGATTTTGAGTAAATGCTGGTACTTGACCGGGTCCATCTGGATAACCGATGTGTACTTTCCGAGACCGAGGGGGACTTGCAGAAGGATACAGACGAGAGTTGCTATGGCCATCACCTGTGGTAATTGTGTCAGCGATTATTAAAGACCAGCCTTATGGGGCGCTTACCGAGGCCAAAATCATCGTCCAGTCATTATATCCAAACGATTTGATGACTACAGCGCGAGCGTAACAGCGTAGTATTACTGTCAAAACTGCAATGGTGCATAGTGTAGCAGCTTCCGCAATAAGGTTGTGGGCATTGGAATAGGCGATGAGCTCGGGTGACGGCAAAGAGGTGGGGATGTCTGATGGCGCCATGTTGGTAAAGCGTGTTCGGCTGGAGAACTTAGTACACGTTGTTTGACAAGTACATGTGTACGGGTTAGGAGCAGAGCGTAGTGGATATATGTATCGATGAATCTATCAAAGCGGAAACTATTCACTGAACCCAAGATTGCCATCGTTGCGAGGTCAGCATAGGTTCACTATTATCATTGATCGACTCGAATCCTCCACATCAAGCACGTAAGTTTCAGAGCCTTGTTCTTGTTTTCATTAGAGCTGATAACTCTGCCTCAATTCCGCCATGAGAAACTGCGCCGCAACAAGACTGCTCGGTGTTTCGTCCTAGATTGGGCAGCCCTTGCTTGCACATGAGATTAACGCGTTCTGCCTACATGTTATACTCATATGACGAGATGAATACCTACTCCCACTGCTCAGACAAAGTCCTCTTTCACAAGACCGTCGCGAACTCAGGTATTGACGCTTTCCTACATCTTCTCCAATCCTCTCCTCTTGGGGACATTTAGACCTCTGGGGATACTCTGCCGAAGAGTGCTCCGCGGATTGAATAAGCTTTTACTTTTATCCACGGCCAAGACGGCTCGGCATGTCCGCAACGGGTGACGGGCGAGGTGGCGTTGAGGTTGTCTCCCAAGGTCCTATGACTCGCAATTGCCGCTGTGATTTCTTGTACACAAGTGGCGCATACATGGCGCTAAAGACATGACAACGCTCAGTAAAAAGAGTGTCATCTATCGGCTGGCACCGTTTATCTAGTACCAGAAACCCGTGTTTTGCGACCGACTTTGCTGGTCATGGCCTGCACCTACGTCCGTAGCGGTTTTCGGCTCGCTTCCAGCGCCGAGCATGCGCCCCGGTATTGCTACCATGCAGCTCTGTGGCACAGCTGACAACAATCCCAAATTCCCCAAGGCGGTACACACCTCCCCAACTCAAGGCTGTTCGGGTTGGGCATGTGCAAATCTCCGCTGCATACTCCTCGTACGAAGAGTGGATCAACAATCCGCGTTTGTGTGTCTTATCGAGTGATCAACAGGTGACAGGCTGATGATATGTGGAAAAAACAACGGTATTATGTATATCCGCCACATTTGCTCTTCCCAGCGCTCTCCTTGCGTCCGTAGCTTGGAATAGCTTATCTAGACGCGTCGCTTCACGGCATTAAAATTACAAGAAACGAGAACTGACTAGCCATCGCATGCAGCGTGTAGGCGACATCAATCCGACGAAGTCGAGACCTGAACAATATGCACCTGTCGCATATGTTACTAAGGTGCATACGCAGTGCTACCGTCTTGTACCCTTATAAATTGTTCTGTGTATCTTCTGGAAAGAGATTGCCAACATAGTATCGACTTGCCACTCAACCAGACTTTCCAAAAAGCAAGTTGACTTGGATTACTTGCTTGACTTGCTTGGTTTAAACCAAGCAAGCAAGTCAAGTAAGAGCTGGGCAGCTAAGCAAGCAAGTCAAGTCAAGATACTTTGCTTGCTTGGCTTACTTGGTTTACTTGGTTGTTTTAGCGTTACTGTGATGAGGGTGCTAAAACTGCTGTACGGTAGATGTCGCGATGGTTTTGAAGTGTTGCAGTTGCCTCGGTTGAGTCCCAAACAGGCTAAGCGGCTATCAAATAACGTTAGCCTTAGTCTAGCGCATTGCTCCAATCTCGACGTACGCCTGTCTAGAAGCCTATCGCAATGCAGTATCCCCTATAGCAACGCGTTTTCCAGTGATTTATACTGCCCTGATACCCCCAATATGGCCAAACGTCGCCTACCACAAACTTCTGCTCGGAGCAAACGTACGAAAGTAGCCGCTGCCACCAACAACGTCGCCTCAACTCCTGAGGCTTCACCTGAGCCTGCATCTAAGCCTGCATCTAAGCCTAGACCTCAGCGTCGATCACCTCGCAAAACCCTAGCTGCCGCAAGCCAGGCTAACGCCTCGCCGCCAATACCTACCTTCGAGTTGCAGTTCTTAGAGTCGCAGGCGGAGGCTGAGATTGTCGCGCCCACCGAGGGCAGCCGAGCTGGCACGGTGGCTACAACTGAGGCTGGAGAGGGTGGTCAGGATGAGACAAACAGCGCACTAGTTGAGAACTTTGACGGCATTGACTGGGCACGTTTACCTGATTTTATCAAGCCATTGGCGCGTTCTAAGCGCCCAAAAAGTTGGATCTTTCAGTATGGCTACCGCGTTGTTGAGCGCCATGCTACATCTCGAATCTGGTTTGTGTGCAAGTACTGCCATGTACACAAAACTATCGACGCTGGCCGTGGTGGTTTGTTTAACATTACTCAGGCTACAACCTCAGCAGCCACCCATCTCAGCCAACCAAAGCCTGGCCACAACCTTACGAAAGATGGCCCAAAGTTAGCGCAGAGAGCTCGAGGCCAGCTGTCGTTGCGGCAAGCTTTTGACGCTGGTTTAGACGTACAACAAAACACTGCTAACGCGTTTGGAAACTTCGACGTAGAGGGCTTTCGAACAGCCACTGTCATGTGGCTTGTTAACCGAAACCACCCGCTCAGCGAACTTACGACGCCTGATTTTAGAGAGATGATGAGATTTGCCAACCCAGAGGCAGAGGCAGCGTTGTGGGTAAGTAATACCAGCGTTTCTACCTTTGTGATGAGGTTGTTCCGGTCTATACGACCGCAAGTTATCGACACCCTGTCAGGCTCAGTAAGCAAAATACACGTAAGCTTTGATGGCTGGACAACAAAGGGTGGTAAACGTGGCTTCTTTGGAGTAGTCGCTCACTTTGCCGACGCAGCTGGAATAATACGAGACTTACCAATCGATCTGCCTGAGCTCGCTGGCGCCCACACCGGTGAGGCTATTGCCAAAGCTATCTCGACGACGCTCTCAGCATACGGAATAACAAGCGACCGATTAGGCTATTTTGTACTCGACAACGCTACCAACAACGACACTGCGATCGCCGCGCTCGCGCGCGAGTACGAATTTGAGTCCGCTCACCGGCGCCTCCGCTGCAGTTGTCACACGCTTAACCTCATCGGCCAGGCTATTATATTTGGCACCAACAAAGACGCCTACGGCAACACTCAAGAGCAGTACAATACCGAGGAGCAGTATATGCGAGAGTGGCGGAAAGATGGCCCTATTGGAGTGCTAGTTGACGTCATCAACTATATCAAAACGCCGCAACAGTACGAGCTTTTTCGTGGCTACCAGCGCCTTGCCAACAACAACCTGCCTGCTGAAGGGCGTCTCAAAGTACTCGAGCCAGTCAAGCCTGTCGTCACTCGCTGGAACTCATACTATGCTGCTTTTGAGCGCGCTACCAAGCTTCAAGCCGCGTATAACTTGTACGCTGAGCATCATATCAATAGGGTTATCCTTGAAGATGCGCACGCTGCGCAGCGGAATAATAAGCGGCCCGACGCCCCAAACTGGATGAGATCAACTGGGCTCCGAGCTGCTGACTGGGCGGTGATTGCAGAGTACCAGGACTGCTTAGAGCCGCTCAAGTACGCCACAAAACGCCTCGAGGGACGCTCTAAGGATGGCAAATACGGCGCAATCTATGAGGTATCCCCGTTTCGAAGTCCGTACTCAGCAAGCTTGAGGCCCGGGCGCGCCCGTTCGAGCACGTCGACTTCAACGCTCATGCCGAGGCTCCAGAGGATCACCTCAACGTCAACCTCCGCGCCGCGTGGAGCAAAGCCAACGACTACTACAACAAGCTCGACGACTCGCCCGCTTACTACGCCGCTGTTTGCCTACACCCGTACTACAAGAACTACTGCGATGTGGCGTGGGCAGACAAAGCTGATTGGCTTACTAGTGCCAACGCGTCGTTCCAACAGCTTTGGGCGGCATACAAACCTCAACGAGCACGCCAGCGGTATACAACTGCGCCGAGTAGCAACAACATAGACGAGGCAATTATTGCTATACTTAGCCGCAACAATGACCGAGAGGCTCCACTTGACGAGTTTGAGCGCTGGAAAACACAAGAGCCGCAGTGGACGCAGGAGCAGTACAACGCAGATGGAAATCCTGTCCAATACTGGATACAACTACTGCCGAAATACCCGCATTTAGCGCAGTTTGCAATCGATATCATGACTATCCCAGCATCAAGCAGCGACTGTGAGCGCCTCTTCAGTGAGCTTGGCGACCTTCTTGAACCTAAACGACGTGCTCTGGGCAGTGAGCTACTCGCAGCTCTTCAATTAGTAAGGTCATGGGTGCGAGCTGGTTATAAACCGTACAACTGTAGCGAGGCTAAGCTTTCAGATGAGCAGCTTGTAGGAGATTACAACATACTAGAGTGGAACACTGAGTTTTGGTAATTTGTATGTAGCTTAATCTCTTTGTAGTAGTCAAGTAATCCAAGTACTTGCAAGTAATACAAGCAAGTCAAGCAAGTAAAAAAATCACCCCAAGCAAGTCAAGTAAAGCCTATGTTTGAACCAAGCAAGTCAAGTTTAGAGCGGTGACTTGCTTTACTTGCTTGTTGGAAAGTCTGCACTCAACATGAAATTTGTATTTGTTCTTGTGGCCTTAGCCGGCAGCGCAGTCGCAAATGCTCCTCAAACCGATGCCTTGGCCAAACATGGACTGGAACAGCTATGGCTTGACGTCGCCAAGCATTCTGATAGCTACTCGAAGGAATGCACTCCGGGAACAGTGGCTAGGCGACGCGAATGGTAAAAGATCAGGTTTGGCCGTGTGTGGTACAATCTGACATACACCAGGTCCAATTTGAAGCGTTCGGAGAAGCTAAACTACATTGACGCCGTTCAATGCATGGGGAAAAAGAAGGCGAGGTATCCTGCAGCGATTGCCGGCGGCGCGAAGAATCGTTACGATGACTTCGTGGTAACCCATATACTATTGACGCAGTACACCCACGGTAATGTTCGTCGTTCTTCCCATACTGCTTGTCGACCTTGCTGACATTCACAAGGGCAATTTCTTGTCCTGGCACCGCTACTTCATGTGGGCTTGGGAGCAGACGCTGCGTAATGAATGCGGGTATAAGGGATACCTTCCCTACTACAACTGGGCGTTGTGGGCGGACAACCCTCGCGCATCTCCACTCCTCGATGGCAGCGATACGAGTATCTCTGGCGATGGAGAGTACGTTCCAGGACGCAACTTTAGCTGCGTCCCCAATCCAGGAAGATGCTTTGTCGAAGTCCCGCCAGGCCAGGGTGGAGGTTGCGTTGCTTCTGGGCCGTTCAAAAAGTGAGTCATCTAGACCAAGTTCGGTTTCCAGCGTTCTGACAGTGGCTTAGTTGGAAGATGAATATTGGGCCGGTCACGACTCTCGATACGACTGTACCGCCGAACCCGTCGCCTGATGGTCTTGGGTACAACCCGAGATGCATCAAGCGTGACATCAGCAACCGATCTTCATCCGAAACGACTGATGCCAAAGTCGCCGATCTGATCACAACCAGTGCCAATATCTCCGCCTTCCAGAATACACTGCAGAATCCCTCGCCTGGAATATTGCGTGTTCATCTTGGCGGTCACCAGACTATCGGAGGAGATGCAGGCTCCGACTTTTACAACTCACCGTCTGATCCGTACTTCTGGAACCACCATGCACAGATTGACCGTGTTTGGTGGACATGGCAGAATCAGGACTTGGAGAAGAGGCGGTACACCATTGCTGGGACGCTTACTTTCCAGAATGTTCCTCCGACTAGGAATGCGACGTTGGACGATGTGATGACGTTTGGAGATTACCTGGGGTTTCCCAATATGACGATTAGGGAGGCTTCGAGTACGGTTGCTGGGCCATTCTGTTACATATATGAGTAGTCAGTTGATGACGAGTATTAATGCTGCGACTGAAGGGTGAGAAGATTTCCAAATGATAAGCAGTGGCAATAATATTGGGATTGTAGAGGTCGTACACCATGCACGCACACGCGTGAATGAAGTGTGAGCCCACGCGTCTGACTACTGTAGCGCGTTGGGCTGTCATGACTCGCGTCAAGGCAACTCCGGATGCACGTCATTTTCAACGCGCCCCGCCAAACATCACAGCTACTTTACAACTCCAACTTACGCAACCGCAGTGAATACAACATGACTGAGAAAGGCGCGCATTTGTTAGAGCGCCCACTTTACGTATTCGATCTTCCCGAAGAGCTCCTAGCCACACTCACGCTCAAAGACCAAGCCGAACGACCACCACAAAAAGAGGCCCCACTAGAGTCACGTAAAGAGGTGGGAGACGATGATGGCGCGCCAGCCAAAGCGACATCATGCAACCTTTGCGGCCTCGGCTTTGTGACGCTTGCAGACCAGCGCAGCCACGTCCGATCCGACCTTCACGGCTACAATCTGAAGCAGAAGATAAAGGGTGCCAAGCCAGTGGGCGAAGCAGAGTTTGAGAAGCTCATCGGAGATTTGGATGAGAGCATATCGGGATCGGAATCATCGGAATCTGACGAGGAAGACGAGGAAGACGGAAGCAAACCGAAAGACTCGACTCTCAGTGCGCTCCTGAAGAAGCAGGCAAAGATATCAGATCCCGAGTTCGACGAATTCTCCTCACAAAAGAAGCAGCGAGGGCCTGGCAAGCCTCCGTTGCTGTGGTTCACATCTCCGTCCATACCTGAAAATATGTCGCTCGGCGTGTATCGTGCGATATTCTCCAACACGGAGCAGGAAGCAGAGTCACAGATTCTAGATACTATACGGAACAAGCAGCTGTCGCCAAAGCAAGCTCCAAAAATCAAGGCAAATGAGGGCGGGGTCCCGCTCCCCGGGACAGACATTGGGCCGCATTACTTCCTGTGCATGATTGGAGGGGGCCATTTCGCTGCTATGATTGTAGCACTGGCTCCAAAGACAGGGAAAAAGCATACCGGAGTCGATGAGCGGTCTACGACTGTGATAGCACACAAGACGTTCCACAGGTACACCACACGACGAAAACAGGGTGGATCGCAGTCGGCCAATGACAACGCAAAGGGCAATGCACACTCTGCCGGTTCATCGATACGTCGCTACAACGAGAGTGCGCTGGTCAACGAGGTACGGGAGCTGTTATCTAGTTGGAAGAGCATGATAGACACAGCAGAACTGGTATTCGTCCGCGCGACAGGTGCTACAAATCGGAGGACTTTGTTCGGTCCATATGAAGGCCAGGTGCTGCATCAAAACGACCCGAGGAACCGAGGATTTCCATTTAGCACTCGGCGAGCAACCCAAAAGGAGCTTATGCGCGCGTTTGTGGAGCTCACACGCGTCAAGCAGAGTACTATCGACGAAGCTGCCCTAGCTGCTATGAACAATCCTGAAGCTACACGAACAACTACAACACCAGCAGCGAAACCCAAGCCTCCGAAGCCGACCAAGGAGGAGGAGCTTGCTACACTACACACGTCACAAATCATACCCCTCATCAAGCGCTCCAAGGTCCCTGCGTTACTGAATTACATCAAGACCAACAGCGTTCCATCCACGTTTACATTTCTCCCAGCAAACCATCATACACCCACACCACTACATCTCGCTGCATCTCTCAACTCCGCGCCTATCGTACTAGCGCTGCTCACAAAAGCTGGTGCTGACCCAACGCTCATGAATGATGATGCTCGAACGCCATTCACCTTGACGGGCGATCGTGCAACGCGTGATGCCTTCCGCGTTGCACGGTCGGAGCTCGGGGAATCAGCCTGGGACTGGGAGCAAGCCGGCGTGCCTGCAGCCATCACCAAGGCTGAAGCTGACAAGCGAGATGCACAGGAGAAGAGCGAGAAAGCAGCAGAAAGCAAAGCCGAGGCTGATCGGAGAAAGGCAGAGACGGAAAGGGTACGAAAGGAGAGCGAGGCTGCTGAGGCGAAGCGGAATGAGACGAGACTTGGTAAGGGCAAGACTTTGGGCGCTCCCGTCAAGACTGGGGCCGATCTGAGGGAAGAAGAGATGCGAGGCCTGACGCCTGAAGCAAGGGCTCGACTGGAGAGAGAGCGAAGGGCTCTGGCGGCAATGAGGCGCATGCAGCAGTGAGCGAGCAAGATACTCGCTTTGATTTTATGAACATCACAGCAGCGTAACCCAATGATACCCTGTAGCCCTTCAATCTCTCGGTACTTGGCTAAGTCGATATCCTCTGATGCCTATAGCACCGAGGAGTTGAAATACCTATTAGGTCCTTACCTACACTTCAAGTATCCTATGACACCCAAGTAATAGTGGCCCGGCACATGTTCGCACGTGCGGTTCGGCCGCATTCGGGTGGGCCTGCAGCGGAGCATTCCGGGCCCCTCAAACGTCATCCCCCAGACTTTCACATGCCCCTCGCTCCGCCCCTCATCCACAACCAAAGACAAGCGCGAGCTTGTGAAAGCGTCCATGTTCATCCAAGGTCTTTCATATCCACTTATCTGTACATCTTGCCCTGAGCAGGTTATGCTGAGCGGCAAGGCTTGGACAACTGGGCTGGCTAGGCTCGGCAACGTAATACCTCGAGCCGATCCCCGGCCGAACGACATCAGCACATCGTAACTTCCGCTCGTCCACTGGAATCCGGGATATGCCAAGCACTTCCGTTAGTTGCCAGCTGCGTCCTGAGACAGACGCGTGCCAGTCCAAACTAAGTCACTCGGCTTGTGCTGCCGCAAGGACCGAGGCTGGCGGAGCAAATGAGTGTTGTCCCTCATACCCGCGGGTAGCTTCTGATGTTAACCATGGTACGATATGACTGTCGAGTTTCCTTGGGCGTGTAGCTCATTCGTAATCTCTACCTCTCGTCTTGCGGCTTCCCGATACGTACCATTAGGATATCTCTTTCTTCCTTTGTCTCCAGATCGAGAGCCCAGGTCTTTCAAGCGTACTGCATCTTCTCTTTCCCAGACCTGTGGTGAAGCTCAATCGTGCTTTCAGTGTCCCAGGTCTGCGTAACCCCACGTGCCTATTTCTGGGGCAGTCTGTGGCTTCGATTCGTCCTAACAAACATTTCTGGTTCTTGAGCCCCAACACTACACACTATGTCTGCGAAATCAGTACAAGGGCCTGGCGGCAAGAAGCCAGCTTCAGCGGCGACTAATCTCATTGGTAAGCTCGATGTATACGCATGTGAAGATCCAGCAGATACTGACTTGCTTAGCCGGTGGTGGTGCTGGAATGATGGAGGCGCTCGCATGTCATCCTTTGGGTGGGTTGTCACTTGGATGCAAAACGTGTGTCCGTATCTAACAAGTTAGACACAATCAAAGTCCGAATGCAGCTTTCGCGACGAGCTCGTGCGCCAGGGGTGCGTTCACCTACCTATTCTCAGTGAGGAATTTAGGACTAATGTACCGTAGGCGAAGAAGCGCGGATTTATCACGACCGGCAAGGAGATTGTCAAGCGAGAGACCGCACTGGGCCTATATAAGGGATTAGGCGCTGTGCTTACTGGCATTGTACCTAAAATGGCTATACGCTTTACCAGCTATGAATGGTACAAGCAACTTCTGGCCGACAAGGACGGCAACGTTGCGTCCAAGTCTACATTTATGTGTATGTAAAGATGCCGGTAAAATCTTGCAAGGTCTAACACTGTAACAGCTGGTCTCGCTGCTGGAATCACCGAAGCCGTATTGGTAGTCACGCCCATGGAAGTGGTCAAGATCCGTCTCCAAGCACAGCACCACTCCATGGCGGATCCGCTCGACATTCCAAAGTACCGAAACGCTGCCCATGCCATGTACACTGTCGTTAAAGAAGAGGGCGCAGGAGCGCTATGGCGCGGTGTCTCGCTCACAGCGCTGCGCCAGGGCACAAACCAGGCGGCGAACTTTACAGCATACTCTGAGTTGAGGGCGCAACTGCAAAAATACCACGGTACGACAGATCTACCCGGGTACGAGACTAGTATGATTGGACTCGTCAGTGGTGCTGTTGGGCCGTTTACAAATGCCCCAATCGACACCATCAAGACGAGATTACAGAAGATGCCTGCCGAGCCAGGCCAAAGTGCCGTTCAGAGGATTGTCACTATTGCCAGGTAAGCCAAGCATTGATGACTGTGAGCGCGGCTGACCAAGTTTAGTGATATGTGGAAACAAGAAGGCATTCGCAGTTTCTACAAGGGCATTACACCGCGCGTAATGCGAGTCGCTCCCGGCCAAGCCGTCACATTTACCGTGTACGAATACTTGAAGGGTATATTGGAGCAAGGCCGGGAGATGATCCCGGGCGGACAGTACGAGGAGTAGCTGGATTCGATGTACATTCCTGAAGCGCAGAATAATGAGCCTGAATTGATACATGAAATCTCACTGGACATGACCGACATGTGAAGACAAGTGGGGTGGAGGGGCTGCCAAGGTACAGCAAGCTACTGCCCCACCGATGCATCACAGTTGAACGTCAGGGTAGTCATACAAAACTCGCGTTTACCCACAAGTACACCTCCTCAACAACCCTCAATCGCTCTCAAATCTACCAGCAAAGATGCAGTCTGGTATCTCCGGTACTGTAACGACAATCTCCCCCTTCCTGTACCCCACCACCTAACAACCACCAGCTTCCCAGGAGCTCAAGTCGGCCCTGGGCAGTCTCATAACCTCGACGAACCAACGCGGTGTCCTCGCCACAATCCAGAACGAAACCATCGTCCCCAGCGGCACCATCACCTCCACCGCCTCCACCTTTGTCGACGACCTCTCCAACCTCTCCCCCCACATCCAACCCAACACGGCCCTCTACATCCTCCTCCGCCGCGCCGACACCCTCGCCTCCGCCGACAAATCCCTCGTAGCCATAACCTACGTGCCCAACGCCGCGCCCGTGCGCCAAAAAATGCTCTTTGCCAGCACGCGCCTCACAATGGTGCGGGAACTCGGCGGCGAGCACTTTGCCGAAAGCGTCTTCACGACCGAAGCCTCTGAACTCACCTCCTCAGGGTGGGAAAAACACATCGCACACACGGCGTCTGAGAAGCCGCTTACGGCCGAGGAGCAGTCGCTGCAGGATATCAAGGACGCCGAGGCGCTGGAGAGTAGGGGCACCCGCGGCCAGGGTCTCGCTCAGGGCGGCCGTATAGCCATTCGTGCGGACGACGAGGTTGCGCGTGCGTTGAGGGAATTGGGGGAGGGCGGTGCGGCGGATAACCTCGTGCAGTTGCGTATGGATGGCGCGAGTGAGACGTTACAGCTTGTGTCGACATCGTCTGCCACGCCATCTACGCTCGCCGCCGCCATGGATACAAAAGAGCCGCGGTACGCGTTTTACCGCCACGACGACGCCGACGCGAGTATTGTGTTCATCTCGACGTGTCCGAGTGGGGCCAAGATACGGGAGCGTATGATTTATGCGGCGAGCAGGGGGAATGTGGTTAGTCTGGCGCAGAATGAGGCGGGGCTCAAGGTGGTGAAGAAGCTGGAGGCGACGAATCCGGACGAGGTTACTGAACAGATTATTTTGGACGAGTTCAAGGTGGAGAAGAAGGAGGAGAGTAAGGGGTTTGCGAAGCCCAAGAGGCCGGGACGGCGGTAAGATTTTGTTCAAGACTCTATGTAGATGTGTAAAAGGAACTAGAAAGGCGTACAATGATACGGAAATCACAAGTCTGTCTACTCATCCCCGTTCCTGAGAAATCCCCGGTTGACATGTGGTCGGCGCTCCATCTTGCCAAACCGCGCACTGGGCTTCAGCCCCTTCTTATTCTTCTTATCCACCTGTCTACCCTTCAACCAGTGTTCACGCACATTCTTCGTGTTGCGGTTGACCTTTGGCGGCAGCACCTTGTTCTGCTGTGCTAACACCGCGACGTTCAGCTTACCCTTTTTCACATCTTTCGCTGGCTTCTCGGTGCGCTCGAGGAACTTGATGTGGCGGTTCAATTTCTCCTTACGGAGTTGCTCTTCTGTTGCGCCGCGGCGTTCGGGGGGAGGCGTGGGCGGGCGCTGGTCGTCGATGTTTTCGAGGAGGGAGGCGGGTAGTAGACCGTTGGATAGGTCGATTTCCATGCGTGGTTTAATTGCTGCCTCTTCTTCCTCTGGGCCTGCAGCGACGGCCTTTGCTTCCTTGGCGGCTTTCTTGGCCAGCTTCTTTGCTTTCTTCTCCTCACGTTCACGCTTTGCGGCTTGTTGTGTGGCGATGAGTTCCTCGCGCGCTTTCCGCTTGGCTTCCTCCTTTGCTTGTTGGGCTTTTTGGGCGCGCTCGGCGTCTGCTTGTGCGGCCTGTGCCTTTGAGCTGGCGGCGGCGGTTGTGACTACTTCGGGGGCTTCGTCGTCTGAGTCGCTTGCATTGTCCTCGTCTGAGTCTTGGACCGATCCAGCTGCGGGTTCCGTGACGGTGGGGACATCATGGAACTTGTTGGCGGTTGGCGAGATTTGTGTGACTACGGACTCTTCGTCGTCGTCGAAGTGCATGTGTGCCTTCTCCGGTTGTGCAGAAGGAGGAGCTTCCTGTGAGGGAATAGGCGCCATTGAGCTCTCATATGAAGATGTGGGGATCTCGTCGTTGAACCTGGAGGGCGTCTCTTCAGCCTGAGGTGGGCTAGACACCTTTTGCGGTGTCTTCCTCGGTCGTCCTCTCCCCCTCTTGATCACGGTCGATGTTGGCTCAACGCTCGCTTCTTTCACTTTTGGCGTTGGTGATCCTTCAGGCTGCCTGTGTGTAGCTGGTGTCTCATACACAGACCCAGCCCGCTGCGCTGGAGTATAGAATACTGCATCGTGCGAAGTTTGCGCCTCGTCTTCCTTGCCTTCGGTAGCTGAAGAAGCATCGGGAGATTCTCTGGAGGGCGCAACTACGGCGGCGACATCGTCTGCAGACACTTGCGAGAGTTCTTCGGTAGGCGCATCAGACTTTGCTGCCGCTTTCTTTTGTGACGATCGAGGAGCCGGAGCCTTCCTCTGTCTCTTTGCTTGTGTCGGCGTCTCCAGCGCTTCCAATTCTCGCTTTCCGGCGGTTTTTCTCGTCGAACTGCGTGGCGTGGGCGTCGGTGCGCCGGGCGTCTCCGTACCTCCTCGTGTAGTAACCATTACGGCGACGGTAACGCGATACTTATTTCGGGTTGTAGACCGCGAGGTGGATATGCCGTGTCAATGAGGTGAGACCTTTGCAACACGCAAAAAGATTCTGGTCCTGGCGTGCCAAGATTTCGCGGCCATTGCGGACCTCCGAGATTGTCATGTCCCAACCTCACAAACCTCCACTACCATGTCGTCGAAACTAATATCGCGCTCAGTGAGAGCAACTTCAAGTCTGGACATCTGTTTGCGGTGCCAGTTCCGCCCATTCCTGCCAGCGCTTTGTCGCAATGCCACAAAATCTTCAGTTCCCCGCAGGCCGGGCATACAAACACGAAACTATGCCATGAACATGAGGCTCGACGCTACCAGACTCCGTGCTGATGTCGATGCGCGCAGTCGACTCGGCTTCTACACATTGTACAAACAGCAAGCTGTCCTTGTAATGGAGCCGCATACTGCTCTGAGCATCTACGCCGATTTCGCCGCACATAAGAACGACACGGATTATGGTAGCCAAGTTCAACGTATAGTGCAGAGTGGGTATCAAGTCTAGCGTTCCGCGAACAAGGTGCTGATATCAGCAGAATACAATGTCCAGCTAGATGATGTCACATCGCTCGCAATGGTCACTTTCATGATACCAGATATCAGTGATCCTGCAAAGAGGGCTAAACTTCCTCCAAGTCCGCATAAAAAGATGGCTGGATTACTTTTACAGGGCTGTGCTCAAGCTGAAGATCCTCTAGCCATTGTGCATATCTTGACTGCCGCTCATCTAGCCAACTTTGGGGATGCTGCCGCCCATGAGATCTTGACGTTGTTTCCACGGCTGGAACTAGGCAAGTACCGCAATACACTGGACACTCTACGCCCGGATCCGAAGAAAACAGCCTTGGGCCCTGAAGTGTTGACTCTAAGAGGACTCTTTCTCGAGCAAGAAGGTCGCAAAGACAAGGCCAAAGAGATGTATCTGGAAGCGATCAAAACAGCACCTCTCAAATTCCAAAGAGGATCAAGGCATCCGCTGCAATTACCTCTCATGGCACCGTGGAATGCACTTGGCTACATGCTGAAAAATGACAAAGATCCCAAGTTGCAGGCAGAGGCGAAGACGTATTTCGAAAAAGGCGCTCTAGAAGGTGATGATCCAGTATCTTACTACGAACTTGCGGCTTTTGAACCCAGACCAAGCGAAAAGTGGCTGAGATATACCAGTAGAGCTGCTGGAGCTGGCCACCGACAAGCCAGTATCGATCTCGCTGCCTTTTACCAAGAGCTTGCAAAACCAGGTTCAATTGCTTTGAAAGACGGCAACATACGGAAGGCGCTCTCTTGGTTGCTAGGGTGGCGACGCGGCAGTACAGCGGAGTTGGCGCGGGAATGGCTTCAAGTAGCATCCAACTTTGGTCATAAACCATCAATGTTGCAGCTCGCAGATTACCACGCATCGATTCATGACCACGAAGGAGCCATGGAGCATTTACGTCGCATGCTTAAACCTCCAAGCACAGCTAATCAGCGAGAAGAGTGGCCGGAACTCGTACAAGTCGCGAAGAGACGCCTTGCTGGAATCAGGTGACGGATGTATGGAGATGCTGCGGTTATGTCTATCATTCCAGGTTCAGTGGCTGTCAACCCAGCTTAATCGACATTAGTTAGTTCGCTAAAGAATACTTGGCAAGTATGCGCGTGTAGGGGAGCAAGCTACTCCAACTTTTTACTTACGATTTCGTTGTATAAGACGTTTTGGTCATATTCTCTCCAAATGACTATCTGCGGATCTACGCACACTACCCCGCCCCGGCAGATGAGTCACGGGCCTTCCTTATCTGGAACTCTGATAGCGGGAAGCACTTGACCATATCTACATAAGATTCTTTTCAAGTCATCGTTGTACTTTAGAATTGTGGTTTTATAACCAACATCTTTCGTGTTAGCTATTGAAGTCCATCATTCCCATCTCACATCATTTCCACAGCCATGTCTACTACAACCAAACCCCATCGGAAAGGCCTGATAGGCTCACCTTCAAACTTCTGGATACACTCTTCACAATCCGGATTCGATCTCACACACCCAGAAACACATTCATCGCCGCCGTCGGGAAAAACCCACACCATCCAAACAACCACCCAACCCATCACAATAGACGCATCAAAGTCTGCCCTCGTCATAATCGACATGCAAAACTTCTTCCTCTCCCCAGCCTTCGGACGCAACCAAAAAGGACCCGGCCACGCCGCCTGCACGCAACTAATCACGCACGCCATCCCCGGCGCGCGAAAAGCCGGAATCCGCATAATCTGGGTAAACTGGGGTCTCACAGAACAAGAAGTAATCGACATGCCACCGTCTGTAAAACGGGCTTTTGGCTTCTTCGCAATACCCGCAGACAGCGACTTTGGCCCCAGCGACGCCGCCTTCGCCCCCCACGAAGATAGCATAAGCGTCGACCGACACGGGGAAGAAAACGCTTCCGTCTACCGCGGCATCGGCGCTGACAGCGGTACCTTAACTCTTCCCGATGGCAAAACTGTTCAAGGCGGTAGACTACTCATGCGCGATACGTGGAATGCGGCTTTGTACCCCCCTCTCGACACCATATACGCCCAAGGCAGCAAACTCGCCCACAACCCCGACGTGTTAATCCACAAGAACCGGATGAGCGGGCTGTGGGGTGCCACAACGCCGTTGAAAGAGTTCCTAGACGAACAAGGTATTAGGACGTTGTTTTTCACGGGCGTGAATACGGATCAGTGTGTGGGCGGGACGTTGACGGATGCGTTTAGTAATGGGTTTGATTGTGTGTTGTTGGGGGATGGGTGTGGGACTACGACGCCAGAGTATGCGCAGTTGTGTTGGGAGGATAATGCGGCACGGACGTTTGGGTTTTGTGCGAGTTGTGAGGGGTTTGGTAGGGGGGTTGGTGGAGGGTAGGGTGGGAGAAAGATGGATATGAAATGGGTGGAGGGTGTGGTGGTAACTATGGGAGTATGGAGACTATAAGAGTGGAAATACTTGGGGAAACCTGGCAGTTCTACCCTATACTTGGTGTCAAAGGGAAGACTCTTGTCTGTAGTACTGTGATGCTGTTAAGCTTCCTGATGAAGACTATATTCTAATTTTCATGGACCTCTTCTTCTCCGCGATAAGTTAACTTCTGCAAAGAGGAGCTTATAAGGATTACTTTCAACTTGACTGGAAACCATAACATGTGCTGAGATACAGATCCTACATTGAAGGTGCACTAGACTATTCGGATGTTTACTACACTTTGTGCAGTACAGAATCAAGACAGAGGTAAATACTAGGATGCTTATGCAGCCACTGCCCGATAAAGAGAGGTCAGGGTAAGCTGCTTTCGCATTTGCGAATAAAAAAGGAACCCGGGTTATTAACTCTAATGATTTCTTACCTGGATTGGCATAGGGATTATGCTGTAGAATAGAGAACGAATCGTTCGGGCTACGGACTAATTACTACAAGAGTGTATAGAAGAGTCCGTACCACACCGAAAACACCCCTTGAGCATAACATCTCCAAAAAAACCCAACGTCTATACTACAACTCTATCCCCGCATAAACACTACAGCACATGCCCCTTCCCTAGCCTCCCGCCAAGCCCCATCCGCGGCCATGCGCAGGAAGTAAAAAGCCTCGGCTAAACCTGGCTACCCGCAATCGCAAGAACCCGATGCTAGCCCCACCACCCTAGCACCTCTACATCATCACCACCCTCGTCGCAACAACGCACCTCCAACAACCCACCCCAACCCTTTGCGTTCCTTACCCCGGTGCCGTAGTTAGTCCGTCGTCGCGCGCAATGTCTGGATTGAGGATATTAGTCCCCGTCAAGCGGGTCATTGACTATGCGGTATGTGATTTTTTCTCGATATGCCGACTTTTGCTTGAGCCGCATGATGTCCTTTGTCTTGATTGAGAGTTGGAGTTGAGAGGTACAGGCGCAATGCTATAACACTCCGCCCACATACCACCTCCGTCCAGCAATACTAACGAAAATCAAAAAGGTCAAACCCCGCGTCAACCGCGCCCAAACCGCCGTCGAAACCGCAAACGTAAAACACTCGATGAACCCCTTCGACGAGCTCTCCATCGAAGAAGCCGTGCGAATCCGCGAAAAGAAATCCCACCACGCGTCCGCGCCCGCCGTGGAGGAAATCGTCGCTTTCAGCGCCGGCGTCCCCAAATCCCAGGATATCCTTCGTACGGCCATGGCCATGGGCGCCGATCGCGGCATCCACGTTGTTGTCGAGGAAAAGGACGCGCTGGAACCGCTCGGCGTGGCGAAACTACTCCGCAAAGTCGTCGACGAGCAGAAGAGCAATCTGGTGATATTGGGGAAACAGAGTATTGACGACGATGCGGGTCAGACGGGCCAGATGTTGGCGGGGCTGTTGAATTGGCCGCAGGCCACGCAGGCGAGCAAGGTTACGATTTCCGATCAGAGCGTCGAGGTGGTGCAGGAGGTGGATGGCGGTGTGCAGACGATTAAGGCAAAGTTGCCAATGGTTATTACGACGGATTTGCGGTTGAACGAGCCGAGGTATGCGAGTTTGCCGAATATCATGAAGGCGAAGAAGAAGCCGTTGGAGAAGAAGAGTCTGAGCGATTATGGGCTCGATACTGAGATACGGTTGAAGACTGTCAAGGTGACGGAGCCGCCGCCACGCAAGGGTGGTGTCAAGGTCGAGGATGTAGATGGTATGATTAGCAAGCTCAAGGAGTTGGGTGCTTTGTAAGAAAGAGATAAAAAAAAGGTAAGACGCGAAATGAAGATAGAAAACTGGCGACATACAGCGATCATGGATATCAACATGTGAGCATGAAGAAAAAGACTACCATTTTTTGCAAAAAAGCATAACATGATCCATGGGCGAGCGGCGCACACGGGCGAGCGGCGCACCCCACCAACTTTTGCAACTTTAAAGCGATGCATCTCAACAACGCGATAATATTATTGCTAGATATTGATACAGTAGATTACTCTATATTAATAGTATCAGTCTTGCATGTGCGCGAGTTGTGCCCAGTCTCCTTGCACCTAGTGCAGCGCCTTTGAGCCCGCTGGCTGAGGCCTGATCGCGCTCCTCCTTGACGCTCTTCATGAGCAATCTGCTGGTCAGCCTCATTTTGAGCCAGTATGTCCTCTCCAGCTCCCTTTGTGAGTACTCCATGCTTCTGTATACGCCTTTTAGAGCGCCGCCTACGCGCTGAGGCTGCGCTATTGGCCTTCTCAAGACTAGAGATCCGATCGCGCATCAGCTCAGCAGAGAGCATCATCACCTCGGCGCCCTTCTTTAGCTGGTCAATCGCCATAATAATTGAAGCTGGTGATGAGCTCTTGTGCTGGCGCACGCGCTCACGTATTAGGCTTGACTGAGCCTCAAGCTCACGCGCGTTGCTCGGCGTTTGAGCTACCCAGGGAGCCTCTGGCAGAGCTGCTGGAGGAGTAGGTGTACGCAGTTGTACATCTACCTTTGATAGAACAGCCTCTGGTTGTAGAGGAACAAGGCCTGCGCCGCGGAAGGCTGAGCAGATATTGGCTGGCGTGAACGCTTGATCAAATGCTGCCTTGAACGCTGGCAGAAACTCTAGCTTGGTGATGTGGTTGATGTGGTTGCGCATAAGGCTCTCCACCTCACGGCTGTACGCGCGCTTCAATGGCGAGAAGCAGCCAACATCAAGTGGCTGGAGTAGGTGAGATGAGTGAGGAGGCATACAGAGCGTATGGATATTGTTCTCCTTGCAGAGCTCCTGGAACTCTAGAGATTGGTGGCTCTTATGGCCATCAATAATAAGCAGGCGACGCGCGCCTACACTACGAGCCTGCGTGTGAGCGTTGAAGTGCTTTAGCCACTCAACTCCAAGCTCATTATTCGTCCAGCCATTATCGCTGACTGCGATCGCCCAGTCGCGTGGGATCTCAGCTTCCTTATACCAGGCTGATAGGTGGTACTGGCCAGCGAAGATGAGGAACGGTGGGACTGACCAGCCAGCAGCGCTGATAGCAGCGATCAGCGTTACCCACTCGCGATTGCCTGGCTGAATACTCTTCGGCCTGCCTCTCCTCTCTGCTCCTGTTATAACTAGCTGCGTTGTAATCTTGCCCATCATAAAGCCAGCTTCATCAAAGTTGTAGACGTCCTCATCGCAGATACCTAGCTCAGCCTTTGTCTCTTCTACAAGCTTAAACCACCTCTTTATTAATGTTGCATCCTCACAAAGAGCTCTCTGCCTATCGTACGCTTGGTTGAAACACGTCCGAAGACTGTCTGTACGCTTAACAAAGGTAGATGGCCAGTTGACTCCAACCTGCTCTCCACCACGCGCAGCCAGCAGCTTATCAGCCATATCACGTACAGCTGTGTAGGTAGGCGCAAATCCACGCAGATCTAGCTGAAGTATATAGCTAATAATCACCTCCTCTTCTCTCTGGGTAAGCTTCCTTGAGTTGGGCGGGCAATCGCGTCGGGCAGGTATACCAGCGCGTCGGCGGCGGAGCGTTGTTTCGGCTACGTTGTAGACTACTGCAGCAGTACGGGTACCTTGGATCTGGTGCGCATTAATAGATGAGATAGCAAGCTGAATATCTGCTTCATTTGATAGTAATTGAGTAGCGCTGCGTTGAGCCATTGTAGATTAAGATCAGTAAGGTGAGTAAAGTTGGTGGGGTGCGCCGCTCGCCCGTGTGCGCCGCTCGCCCATGGATCATGTTAACCACATATACAGACATTAAACCATGCATCAAAACCCCCCCGCCGGCTATGCGAGAACCCGCTGAAAAAACAACACTGGTCTCTCAAAGTGAAAAAGGGGTATATCTATCTACTCATGTCCGCATCTGCACATTCACAAAATCATAACCCCCCTCTGATTCCTTCACAAAAACCTCACCTCATTGAACAAGCTCGCCCTAACCTGCATCAAAGCCACAAGCTCAAGCACAAAGTTCTGCAGTATAACCACATTCGTGATAATGTGCAGTAGACTGGCTTCTCTCACATCATCCTGCTCGGCCTCGTCATCCTCGTTTTCAGCACCACTCGTCGCGTCTTCCGAGGGCTCCTTGGGCGGAGGTTGGAACTTGGAGAGCATGACTTCGACGTCTTTTGAACCGGCAGCGCGGCGGAAGCGGATACGGCGTTTACCGAATTGATTCATTCTGATCTGCGCGATGCTGGCGTCGACGTCGGAGAAGAGGGACATTTGTTGCATGCCGGTGGGTGGTGTGGCCATGGGGGAAGTAGCTCTAGCAGGCGAACCGACAAGAGTCTGACCGCCATATCGAGATGGAGCAGGCGATGTCGTGGGTGTGTTTCTCGAACCCGATAATGTTTCCTTTCGTCCGCGGGGAGATTGAGCTCTCAGCGGTGTCTGCGGCTGCTCGAGGACGTGTTTCGGTATTTGCGGCGCCCAGGAACCTGGGATATCGGATGGAGCTCTTGCTGGTCGCGAGAGGGGGGTTGACATTTTCGACTCCTCGACTAGGTCCTGGTGGAAGCGGAAGGCGTTCTTGCGGTTCGCAACGTGGTCATCCCAGTCTTTGATGTCGCTGCGTAGAGCATCGACTTGCGCCTGGAGCTGCTTTAGACATATGAATAGCTGGGGGGTTGCTGACGGGCTCCAAGTTGGGAAGCGCTCGGCCAGGAACATGCCCCGTAGGTTGTCGTTGGTGAAGGGCTCGAGCTCGGGGACATCGCTATCGAAATGGTAGTCGGCGGGGTCCACGGACAGCCATCCTTCCAAACGCAGCTGGGAACAACTCCCAAGCGTGATGATGGCCTCTGTGAGCGCCAGGTTTGTCTCCACGTCGTTTGTGAGGAACCGAAGCATCAAGTCCAACAGGGATTGGAAGAGCGGGTCTTCTGGAAGTAGCTGATGGGGATCGACACTGCGGGCTGAAGCTTCGGTCGAATCGAAATATCCCTTGTCCTTTGCAGATGTTATGGGTAAACCGATAGTTTTGAGTGAGCAGGGATGCGACTCCAATGAGCTCAGAACATCCTTGAGATAGCATTCGTAAGCTTCATCAACGCCGTCCATACCAGCAAGGTCCACGGCAAGGTTCAAATATAGGTCAAGCTCCTTGTTAAGCGATCCAACTGTCCTGTGGTGCTCTTTGTGGTGCAGATTCATTACCTTGACGAGAGATCCCAGGGCGTACCCATGGCTTTTGCTGAGTATGACGCTGGTCAACTTCAACGACGCAATGACGGTTTGAGGGTTGTGCGAGGCTGTGCTTCCCAAAACCAAATCGACCAGGTTGAACAGCGATGGGTTGAGCCTGTCGTCTTCCTCGGGCGCGCTGAGAAGCATGAGCGACTGGCGCCGTTTGACAGCGGCTGGTGACCGGGGTGTTTTGGCCGAGTAGTCGGAAAGCGCCAACAGGTACTGCAGCATCATATTGACAAGCTCGGGGTGATCTAGCGCATCCAGGATGTGCCGGAGATATGTAAGCACGGCCACGGATGAACCGCCATCGGCGTCGGACGACTCCAGCAGCGAAGGGTACCTGATTGTGTTAGCTACGCACACTACAAACATGTTGAGACTGACAGTAGTTGCTGCAGGAACAAGGCCTGGAAGTGATCGATCAATGTAACCCTGACGTCCACTGAGCGACAATGCTCGAGCACGTCCTGCCAGAAGGTGAGGTAGGATAGAAAGGTGAGGAGATGGCTCTGGAAGTCTGTGCCAAAGAAGTTCTCGGCTTGTGGGTTGGGCTGCATCTCGGTGTAGTCGGAAAGCGATAAGACGAGTGGCAGATCCTGCGCGGGGTGTAGGATGGAGAGCTTTCTAGATGATGTTAGTAGACATTGACAGTAGTGGACGGACTCCATGCCTGCTCATCTGGCTGTATAGCGCACCCAGCCCCGTTGCCATCAGCGTAGGCAGGTCGCTATTCACAATCCACTGCTCCAGATCCATAGACCGGGATGCAGACTCGAATATGTACAGCAGTCCTGTGCGCGCAAAGTCTCCGATTCGGCCTTCGTGGTGGACATGGTCGATGAGCTGATAGCACAACGGAAAGTCCTCTTTTTGGGTGACACCGGCGAAATCGGTTTTTTGGTTCAGCACCCGTCGATGGCCGTCTACCGATGCGGTAGTAAACCACACGTGCAGAATCTCAGGCTGCAGTCGGATCTTGGCCGCAATGCCGAACAACAGCTCCACAATATCAGCCTCGATATCTTCTCCTATGCCTATGCTTCCAGACCCGATTGTTCGGTCGATGAAGTTCATGAGCGATGCAGCGAAGACGTCATTTTCGAGGAAATCCTCCTCTTCGCTATCGATGAGGGCATTGTAGAAAGCCACGGCGTCCCTAACCGTGCCCTCATCGTGTGCCGTAGCAGCAATTTTGGAGACGGCGGTATATATTTGCTGAGCGGCGGCAAACTGCAGACACATGTGCGGCGCTGGAGAGCGCGACTCATCGCTGAGAATGGCCGTGAGGGCCTGGAAGCCGCGGCGGATCTCCCCCAAGGCCTCGCGGTCGCAGGCGAGATTGTTGGACTTGCGCCATGATTGCTGCGCATTGTCAGTTCTCTCTTCAACAGCATCAGCTTCGCGGATCGTACTAGAATCTGGTTGTATCGCTGTCGGAAGCGTGCCAGCCGCTGTTGTGGGTTGTTGGGGGCGGCCTGCTTCTTCTTCTGGGACGAGCCGCCGAGTAGCCTCACCCACTTTGACAACAGGTCAGCATCGCATCGACAGTCTAATGGGGCAGAAATACGCACGAAGTCCATTTGATATCTTACTCACCCCGCATTTGGGCCGTGTACGTGGGGTGCTGGGCGTCAGGAGTTATATCATGTCGACGCGGAGCGCGCCGAGGTGGAGCTGAGCGCCCGCGAAACCAATCGCGTGGCATCCATCTCCGCAGCGCACAGGCGATCATCATTTCACCCTCCCAACCTCCACCCAACCTCTATGCGAGTATAATATGACACCCAAGTGCAGGTATTACTTATTTACCTAGGACATGCATCATAACGTCTCTACAGGAAGAAAGGAAATATAAGCAGTATGACAGCGCATCCTCTCACAGCTCATTCACCAACCACCCAATTGCCTTGATATTACTAATTTGGATTGACTATGTAGGGTATCATCATGCAAGCACGTTGAAATGCTGGAGAGTGTAGGTAAGCACCAAGGCGTTCCTGGCGACTACAGTGGCCTCTGTACACTAGTATGCCAAGTATCTTACTGTATGACACCCAGGCAAGGCATGATGCATCGTTAACAAAAGAAATAATACTCCGAACTCTATTCCCGCCTCAGATAGCAGCCTCCTCCTTCGTCCACTTGACTTCCTTCTTCACCTTGGCACCATTCACTGTTGGCAGTCCACTCATCCCCAGCATGTAGTCGCGTCCTTTAAGCAGCCAGACAAACATACTAGGTACCCGCCATCCCATGACCGCACCAACCCCGCCGCCGCTACCAATCGGTACCACCATAGACTCGCTAGTAATGGGCTTGTACAGCCTATCCTTGCCATTTGGCTTCTCGTCGGGCAGCATGGGGTTGTACGAAAGCAGGTCGCGCTTGAGGTTAGTCGCAAGCACAGGTAATCCATTCATGATGTCCCAGAAGTTGTTGCGCGAGTAGGAAGCAATGTCTCCAAACGCGTAGACGCGAGGGCCTGCTGAATCCACGCGCAGAGTCGCGTCGTTGGTGATGAGGTAACCTTTTTCGTTGAGGAGCTCCTTGGGCATCCAGGATGAGTTTGGTTGGACACCGAAGGCAGGTACGTATAAGTCTGCTTCTAGTTGCTGGCCATTCTCCAGTGCAAGAGCTGTGCAGCCTTCTTTTGTGGGTGACGAGTCGGTCACGCGCGTGTTGTAGACAACCTCCACACCGAGCGCGTTGAGTTTCTTCTCTGCTGATTTGGCTATCGCAGGGCGCAGACCGGGGAGCAATTGCTTGTCTGCTGTGATCAAGGTGATCTCCGTCTTTGGGACTACCCTGCTGAACCACCCGGGCTTGCCATTGCGATGCTCTGCGACCTCGCCTGCAAATTCTACCGCCGTAGGGCCGCCACCGACAATTACAATCTTCTGCGCCGATTCGACCTTGTCGTTTGTCGAGGTGATGGAGTCCAGAGTGCTTTGAGCATCCATGCTCATCGAAAAGGCTGGGAAGTAGGTGTTGCTGCCTGTTGCGACGATGAGCGCATGATAGCTCAGCATCTCATTCTCCTGTCCCTTGTTACTGGTGTACAAAACGTTCCGTGCTGATGTGTCGAGACCGGTAGCGGCCGCCTCGACGAAGGTAAAATCTTCGTCGGAATACTGCTTGAAGCCGTCGGGGATGTCGAACATGATCTGCTCAGTCGTCATGCGCGAAGTCGAAGCCGCCACTCGGGGCGACGCCACCCTGAAGTACCACTTTGAAGATGGCGAGATGGCGTACACATGGTACTTGGCTTCATTCTTCTCTTTGAGCGCAGGTAGGATGTGTTTGAGAATGTAGTGTGTGGCTTGAAGCCCAGCGCCCGATGCGCCGAGAACAACAATATTGCGTTGCTCAGCCATTGTGGACGATTACCGGAAGGGTGTTGATAAAAAAAGGCTGAAATGCTAACAGGTCTATGGGTATCTAGGGAACGAAACGCTTGCGTGCAATATGAAGTGTAGTCAAGAAAGAGAGGGGGGAAGGCATAAAGTCTATATACTACTTTGCGAAACACGAAACGATCGGCAGACACAACGAGCACGGACAAAACTTACCACCCGGGTGTTATGAAATACTTAATACTAGTGTTCGCTACTTAGTCACCAAACACGCCTATTAGGTGCCACCCACACTCCAGTTTTTACAACACCCGGGTGCCACTGCCCTGGCATCTTGCTTATTCTGACAAGATTCGAGCACTCAATCCAGCGTCCGATGTCGCGACGATTGCAAACACAATGCGAGAGTTGGTAATGCATTGAAGCGCCGATGGCCGACCGGATGCGCGAAGATCCGCGACATCCGGAGTCTTCGTAATCACCCCGCCAAGACATCGGCGTGTGTGATTGGTCATGCATGTCTAAGCAGGCAACTACCAACGTCAAAAGGAACTTATTTATGATTCCACTCTCGTAAGTCGACGGACTACACACTACACGGTTTGTCTCTTCTACACCGGTCACGCGTCACCAATGCAGCGCCATGTACGGCTCAGAATGTAAGTCATACAGTTCATCTTTCAGTCCAAGATTGATTGAATAAATGAGTGTCCGATTATCTCCCTACGTACTCCTCCCAACCAACTTGATCCACACCTCTCCTCCTAATGCATACCGAAACCTGCCCCAATGGATAGCCGCACACGTATCTGCTTGTCCGGCAGTGGTTCACTGATGTGTCTAGCGGCAGTAGTCGTTCTTTCCCGATCCTCCATTCGCGCATCTTCCTGCCCCACAGAACTTCTGGTATGGCGTGTCGGTGCAGCTGCCGCAGTAGAACAAGGAGTCGTTCACGTGATCCGCGTCATTTGGCTGATTGGCGTTGCTGAGGCCAGTCGTGATCTCCCCATAGTAGTTGCCTATCGGGTACGAAGGAGCTAGTTAGCAATCATCGCATTATGTTGCCATGGAGTGGCAAGATATGTACCCTTGTTGAGAAGACCTCTACCGCAGTAGGTGATGCCTTTTTTGCAGCAATCAGCGGCCACGAGTCCGCCCAAGAGGGTGAGCGTAAGCACCGGGAGAATGGAGAAACGCATTGCGAATGAGGTTTGAATTGGTCTGCTGGATAGTTGTCTGTTGCGATGAAGAGTGTGCGGAAGGATAATTCACGCGAGAAGCTTCCTTTATACATCTTCTTCAGTGGTCGTTGTTCTCTTTTGGTCGTGCATCTTGCGCAAGTATCCCGACTACCTCATACGATACACGCACATTCCAGCTGCCAAGTGTCAGCGTATGTAAATTGGTACATGTTGAGGCTGAAGTCTAGACTTGTGCTGAGGTGGTAGAACGGAGAGTGCAATAACGTAATACACGGTTAGAGTACCCACTCCAGCTGAACCTCACACCCCCAGATTAGTAATATCGCCGATGCACCTTCCAAATATTCACTCTAAATTTTCAACAACACATACCAGCTATCGTGTTGAAAGGTATGGTGAAACTACACTCAAAGCTGATGTTACATTGTGTCAGCCCACGAAAAACGCTAGTGCCGAATAGGCAGTGCCAATTCATCCAAAGTGAGGTACCGCCGCACCGGGATATACACCTTCCTGAAAAAAAAATGTCAGCAAACATTGGCAGCCTGTAGGATACGGACGCCGCTGTCTAAAGTCTTGGATTTCCCCTCGCACACATGATTAACCCATTAGACGTACGAGTAACTCGGGGTCGCTAGCGGATCAGGGTCAGACATTGCTACCTCGTCGATTGGGAGACATGGTTCGACCAAGTCGTAGATTAAGGTGTCTGATCAGCTAGGAAGTGGTTCGAGTGTCTCGGTATACAGGTGGTGGTGTAGCTTGGTCAGAGACGGAGGGTTGCATTATGAGGAACAATCCCACGTGACCATAGTCTTTCTTGCAAAACCTGCTGACATTGTAGCACAAGCGGCTAACCTGCACAGAATACCCATCTAAGAAAGGTACAAATCAGGCTTCTCAAGCTCTTGCTCATCACAGTCACTCAGAAAAGGGTGTTGTTCGTCTTCCAGTACAGCTCATCGCGCACCTGATTTGGTAGATTGTACTGTTAGAGTGATGTATAAAAAGGTAGCCTGGCATATGCACCTGCATCTCGACCCATCCACTCCGCGTCTGATAAACTCCGGGCTCAGCTGTACTTCATCGCTGACCCACATTAGCTCCTCCTCGACTGGACTCTCGTTTCGACTTGGCATAAGCCAGTCTCCACGTCAATTTAGTAGATCAGCCGCTGGCTTTCTTCTTCATCGACACGTCAGACAGAGGCAAGCGTGAGAAAGCTTGGTAGATCTCGCCAAAATCATGTAATCGATGGGCCCAGTTCGGTACGCACGTCAAACAGACGTATATGCACTGGTCACGTTCATATACCAGCAATATATAAACTATACAGCCAAAGAGAGCTTAAACTCTTGAAACAGAGCATCTCACTATCTGCACAGTCAGCTCATCATGAAGCTTGGACTTGAAAGGACATATCGCAAACTACACCCTACACTCCATCATCCCACCCCTCGCTTTCCCCACCACTCTCTTCACCACTGTCCTCATACTCACCATCCGACAACCCGTCCCCATGCACTTCGTTCATATGCTGATACACGACATCGCTGCTTGGAAACGCGTTTGAGCACTCCCAACACATATGGGTATGGCAGCTACTGCACTCGATATGGTGACATCCATCCACCTTCTCGATAAGCGTCGCGCACTTTGGACACTCCTTGGTACCAGCGAGCGCCATGTAGTCATCCAGCAGCTCCTCATTCCGCCTGTTATTGCGAAGATGCACCCCGTAGCTCTCGCACGTCCACGGGGCATGGGCCTGCAAGTCGCATCGGGTACATGTCTGGGCCAGACAAGTTGGACAGATGAAGATCTCGTAGGATCCGTGGCGGAGGTACACGGACTTGCAGTTTGTGGTCGGGCAGTTACGGTATAGATCGGGGTAACACCGGACGTGGTGAGTCAGAGAGGCGGTGAGAAGGGCGTCGAATGTTTTGCTGGTGGTGTTTCTGCGGATATCGGCCAAGGCGATGGGCGTCTCGCAGTCGTCGTGCCAGCATACAAGCGGGAAGTAGTTGCCCGTGAGGTCGGATGCTGATACGTGGATTTGGTTGTTGAAACAGTCCCTGCAGATGAAGTGGTTGCAGGCTGAAAACTGGATTTGATCGGTAGCTTGGCCACATTGAGAACACGTCGTGGTAATGTCTTTTGTTCTTTCCAGTTCTGTAAATGGCAAGTTGAGCTCAGAGGCAAGCGACAATGCATCCACACACGGGCAGTGCAGGACGAGGGCTTTCTTGAGAATGTCGAGACTGACTTGTGATGCGCCCAGGGTTGACTGCGCCCTTACGACTTTGTCGGACGCAAGAAACTCGCGGAAAGCATTTTTTCCAAAATGGATCACGTGTGATTCCCTTGACCCCTCGAGCAGAAATACCTTCTTTGCGAGCTGGTACTCAACCTCTTCGATTTTCTTGTCATTCTCGGATGGGTCGTAAATGCGTAGCCGCTGCTGCAATTTATCGCTTATGATGGTCATTTCATAGTCGCGCGCCAGATGCTGGAGCCAGACAGCCCCGGGTGCTGTGCTGAAGAACTCGTGCCATATCTCGTGTCGCGTAGCAAGGCCTAGCTCTTCCGCAGTCTCACTGTCTAGTTCTCCCTTCGTTACAGGGTCCAGCTCTGGTGCAGTTGCAATATGTCCGGCAAACGAGGCTTCCAATACCCTTTTCAAGTTTACTATTTGCTGCTGATTTGCTCCTGATAGACGTGTTGTGACCTTGTCATTTCTTGCTTCTTGCCAAAATGGCGCTACTTCTGGGACTAGCACCATTACATCCAGTACACCAGCCCTGATAGCATCGTATAGCTCTCTTGGCGTAGTAAAGTAGAAGTTGTATATCAAGTGAACGTCCATGTGTGGTTGGCTGCTGAAGTGTCCTATGGCTTCAAGTGCGTGTTCCGGTTGGTAGAATCCCACAAGAGCGTTTGTATTCCAGCGCCCCCGGATTTCTTGACTGTTTCTATTGTAGAATTTCAGGGCTCCGGCAATGGAGTGAAGTATTGCCTGCACTTTGCCAAATCCTAAACCGGGGTTTCGGCGCCAGGATAGCAATATCGTGTTGGCATCGGCTTTGACAGAAAACTTGTTAGTGATCTTAACGCTGGAGTTCAGACTGATCCTTGAAACTACACAGCCAGCGAGGAAGTTTGCATTTGCGCCTTCAATATGCCGCTGTATCTCTGGCTCATCCATTGTTGGTGTAGGGACCGAGTAGTTTCGGGCTCAGGTCTAGCGAATGTTAAATAGTTCAACATGAAATTATGACGTGTAAGTCAACAGTCGGCGTCAGATTCTAGTTTTAGTGGGGTGTTGGAACTCCGATCAGGTGCTGATGTGAATGAGCAAACAGTTACGCAGCCGCAACTCAAAATCAAACTTTCGCAACGCTGGATAGATTAGACAAGTGTTTCATATGGTGAAGTATGCAATAGTATTCCAGATAATGTCTAGATGGGCAATCATCGAACAGACGTGTCCGCGGAGATGGTGCCCAGGTGAGGTACCAATATCACGCTAGTACCATTCCAGCCTAGTGCCGACGTATCCCCTCACAGAGTTCCACGGTATTACCCATGCTCAGTGCCCATGCTTACGGCACCGAAAACATGTGCGTATTTGACCGAACCGAAGTCTTGTTTTCCCAGACGGCATAGCGTTAGTCACAGGCAGTGGTTGAGGATCAGCATAACGGCATTCAGGGGTGTTCCAACAACGTCGAGTTGAAGCAAGGAGTCATGTTCTTTCATTCCCAATGCCTCACAGTTATCCCTTATTACCCTTGACCGTACCTCGATCATTACCGTAGTTGGAGCATGTGCGACCGAAACCCCTTTGAAACCCTAGTCATATGTACAGAAATAGCAACCACGCGTGTCTCCCTCTCCTTCCCTGCGTACAAATCAATTGACCCAATCATCGATGTTGTATCTCATGTCCGCCTCGTCAAGAGCATACGTGGGGTCTTCAAGGTAGGCAGAGATGCCGTCGAAGAGAGAGAAGTCGTCGAAATTGCAATCGGGGGCCGGTGAGGGGTAGCCGTGAACATGTTTGGGCGTCCCACTGATGACTTAGCGGGGCGCTAGCGGCAGGGCTGAAATCGATTGGCATATTAGGCCCGACCCAATTACCCGAGTGGTTCGGCGGAAAGTTCTCTTGTCCGAGGGCGGGATATAGAGTTGCGGGAATAGGGGGCGGTGCAAATCCACTCCGCATCCCTCCCTCTACCAGCACTGGTTTTGTGTCCATGTGAAAGTCGGGTTCCAGGGCCATGGCTAGGTTTGGTGTTACCATCGCCCCGGGAAAGCTTTTGTTGGACATGGCTGGACTGCTGCCACAATAGCCCTCATCTTTGGTGTTTATTGGAAGGTTTTCGTGAGAATAGAATGGTGCGAGCTCAACGGCTTCGCTAGTGCTTGAGGAATAACCCCTAGCACCTGTGGCATCATTGGACGTGGATGAACTCGCCAAGGCAGCTTCCTCATTAACCAACGACCCGGCTGCTAGAACTGCTTTCCTGATCTCATTCTCGAGGTCGTCTGGAAGATGCCCGGATAGATTTCGCTCCACGAGATCAAGGATGAGGCGCGTAGCATACTTGCTGATCTTGCCGAGATCGTCAGGATAGATAGCTGGGCGTAGTGGTTCTTCAGCCGCCCATGGTGAAGGTACCTTATCCTCAGGTACCTCTGGAAACAGTCTGCGGTACGCCAGAGTCCACTTTACGCCCAAATCTTTGAACTTGACGTAAGGGTTGGCCTTGAAGTTGATATCGGTATTACACCTTTGCTGCGGGAGGCCGTGTATGTCCTTGATGTGGTCTCTGCTTTCTGTTAACTACGACAATACACACCACGCAAAGACAGTGGCATACTTTAGCTTGCCCGTCTCATTGAAACCCTGGCCCTTGCACGATTTTGCTATGGGGTTTCTCGAGTCATGTTTGTAATACGGGCATCCGACACGACGAACTCCATCAAGCCCCCCCGTATCACGCTTGCGCTTGCGCTTACGCTTGTGGGCGTTGGTCGAGGCGGAAGGGGATTCCTCACGCGATCGTTTGGATCTGCGGGATGTATCCTGGTGATGTCCTGTCTGAGTAGACAGTTGGTTGTCTGTTTCGTCTGCCAATAGTTAGTATCAGCACTACGAATGGGGAAGGAAGTTCTCTACGTTGCATGTTGATGTCGGGAAGCACGTTGACGTTGTTTGCGGACGGTGTGGACGTAGGGGTGGGGGTGACTTGAGGAGCCATTGAATGAACGGCGCCAGTCATAATGGGAAGAGGTGGGAATAATGGCGTCTTGTGGGAAATGGGATCTAGTAATAGCAATTAGCACTTACTTTCCATTTGGAATGTCAGTCTACGACGAGTACATACCGGGAAAGTGACTGTCGGCCATCAGTACTGTTCTAGCGCTTTGTGGGCGTCGTGGTTGATTAGGAGTTTGTAGCATTAGGTTCATTTGAGTTCATTTGGGTTGTCGTGAATGTTGGGAGAAGATTTCCATAACCTTTACTTATCTGTGACCTATGATGTAGCCAGGTGGTCGTATGCAATGAGCCAACCTGATCATGGCCACAGATAACGGAAGGAGGTGGAAATGTTGTGTCAATACTGCAACGATAATGTGCGTCAAGGGGGAGTTGAAGGCATGGCTGCTTTCAGCCCCTTGGCGGTAACATTGTATACCGTTGAGAGAGTCGTCGACGATGGAGGAAGACATGCCCCTTCATCGTCCTTGACTCATAATTGACACGTTCAATACAAGCTAGATGACCCCATAGCCACAGCCGGGTCATGTAACTGCAGAACACAACTCACAACACCAACGTGTAAACACACAAAAGTCACGAAAGTATACCATGAACATGTGCGCAGTCGAGAATTGCAAGGAGCTCTTTCGGGGCAAACGTACCTTGCTATCACTAGCAATGCCGAAGGAAGTGATAGGTCGAGCGTTCTACGTCTTATGTTGGTCAGCCACCACACAGAAACTTCAAATCCATATGAAGGGGAAGCAGTATGCGGCATTCGAGTGAGAGCGACTAGCATGAACATACCTGATTGTACTAACTTACCTAAGAATCCCCCACAACAGCTTTGACAGCTGAGGTGATGTAACAGTCCAACGGCTTTACTCCACAAAAAAAGTCAAATATAATAGTACTACTTTCAACAAGGAGAAACGCAAAGCAGGACAGGGGAGCACGGTTCGACAGAGGTGGCGGGAATTTATACCCCGAGACCACGCCAAGCCTATCCAATTCACATCGCGATCAAACCAAGTAAGTCTACAAGAGATCCGCCAGCGACCGCGGAAAGCGAGAAATCGCTTCTGCATCACCCTGACAAGTCCATGTGTATCGTCCCCCCGTGATGAAACAAGTGCGAAACCTTATGATGCAGCGGGAACGGAAAGACGCCCTACAGGCAGCCAACCGAACTATACGATGAGCAGCAGATCACACTACCCTATCATGGAGACTGTCTGAGCGAAATGGGTTAGGAGGATGAATCTATAATTCCTTCTGGTATCAGGCCTGTCGCTCGGCATCTCGCAGCCAATATGTATGACGCGGATCCGCTTTTTGCAGCGACGTGATTGGCCAAACGGCAGCCTTCTGATTGCGCCGCAACGGCTCCGATAAGACCAGTGCTCAAGTGGTGGTGGCATGAGAATGATCAAGGGGCGTGGGACAAGAAACCCAATGAATCGCAGCTTAAGGGGATGCCATGTGCATTGCCGTCATGGCGGGGTTACAGGCTTCGTGGAGTCGGGACGTGGCGTGGGATGCACTGACTAGTCCAAACGGGCCGCCATGAGAACGCGGGCACAGATATTACCACGACATCATAGAACTTATGCTCTCAGATGAAAACCTGCGCCGCCGTGAAAATTGATTCCTCCTAGCGCTATCTTTAGATGGCAATCATGTCTGATCCATGTAAACTCTCCGAAGGAAAATCATAACCCCCACTTGCCGGAAGGCCCACATTGCCAATGCTTCCAACGGTGTTGTAACCACCCATTGCAAAGACATCCATTCCCTTCGCTTCGGCAAGCTGCATAACTAGATCCCTGGCAGCAACCTGCCCATTTTCCTCCGCAGACTTGCAGGCTCTCCGTATCTGCGCCCCGCCATCCGAGACAAGATCTACGCCTTTATGGAAGAGTAGAAGCAACATGTCCATTCTGCCGAACTCTGCTGCGAATTCGAAAGCGGTTTGCCCGCCATATGTACTTCCTGGTGCATTGACGATTGCGCCATGCTGTATGAGTAGCTCTGCGGTGCCAACGGAGCCGACTTTTGCGGCGAACTGAAGAGCTGTGCCGCCTTCGAAGGTACAGGGTGGCGCGTTTACATCAACATCGCGGTCAAGCAGATATTCTACAATATCAGCGTGACCTAGTTCGACGGCTAGGTGTAGCGACGTGTGTGTGATACCAAGGGTTGCGCTGAAGTGCAGGTTGGCGTTGGCGTCATGTAGCAGCTTCACCATGGCAAGATCACCGGTCGATATCGCTTTTGAGATGGCCGTAACTCTTCCTCTCAGTGAATGATTGGGATACATCTCCACTGTACTGTCGGGATTGCCGCCAGAGTCTAGTAGAATTTTTACGATGTTGACACTGCGCGTAGCGATGCCTTCCCTAAGTAACGTCGGTAGGCACAGGTACTCAACATTCGTGAATATATCACTTGTCCGTTCAGACGTCCGATGCTTCACCTCTCCCTTTACATCAAGCCATTCAGTGTCGTTCAAGTCAGCGTGTTCAGCTAGCTTTCGTATGATTGTCTCATTTTTTTCTCGAATCGCTTTGCGCAACGCCCTGTCGAAGAAACCTCTGCCCCCCGTGGGATAACGCCCACGGAACGCAGTCAGAACAATGTCAAGAATCTCCATCGATTGTGAAACAGCAGCCAAAAGGGCACCTGGATCGTTGAGATCTGCACCACCAGCCATAATTTCGTGTATTATCTGCACATTGCCACTAGAGATAGCCACTACCAGAGGTGATTTTGTTCGATTAAAAGGCACGGGAGTGGCCGCTCCATTATCGAGTAGTAGCCGCAAGATCGGAAGGTTATTCTGTTGTATGGCTTCTTTAAAAGGCGAAAACCATGGACCTCGAGGGTAAGAGGGCAGACGCAAACAAGTTCCATATGGTCTTTACATTCTGCCGTCGTTGATCGGGAATCCACCGATTATCAGATCGTTCAAAATAGTCGGATTCCCCCAACGGACTGCAAAGTGTGCCAGTTCCGAATCCTTGCTTTCGATGTAGCTATCAAGAAACAGTTTTACAAGTTTGGAGTTCCGGACGAGTATAGCTGCAAGGACACTTCCGCTATTTGGCCGGGAGCCAGCATCTAAGAGAAGATCGACGATACTCTCGTGATTCCCCAACACAGCTACGGTGATCAAAGTGCTAATCAGCTGTTTCGGCGGTAACCGCTTCTTTTCGAGCAACCTCAAGACCTGTTGAACCATCTCTTTGTTGCCAATTTCGGCGGCAGCGAGAAGAACCGGGACAAGCTTGGACCAACGCAGATGATTCAAGTTCTTGGACTCTTCAATTAGATGCTGATGGCGCCATCTAATAGCTTCCGCAAACGGCGTAGTTAAGTGAAGTTCTATAGAGCATCCTTCCCGAAGCTGAGGCTCAATATCTTCGGGTAAGGTTCCGGCATAGGGTATGTTGGATGACCGGCCATACGTGCCATGAATATCTATACCGGCTCGGACATATTTCTGAACAAGTCCTTTGTTGTTGCCACCACAGATGTCAATGAGCAAGCTGAGCGAGCTCAGCCAATTGGCTTGCTCAGCCAATTGAGCGGAGGCCAGCAGCTCGCTCGGCTCGCTCGGATTGGCTGAAACAGGGCTGTCAGCTCGCTCGGCTTGATGGGCTCAGTCCCGATTAGGAAAGTTATATAGAAACCTTGGTGTTGAGTTTCTCAGCTAATATCCCACTTATGTACACCGTATTTCGCGTCCATCTCCTCATCGCTGATAACCCCCTTTACAGGCACCTCACCACTGCCAAATCCAGCTCTTATCCATCGTCGATCGCACTGTATTGCTGCTAGAAGTTGCGGAGAAATGCTGCGCCGACGGGGCTCGAGGAGGTCACCCAGCTCGCTGAATAAGCGCTCACACTCACAGCTTGAGCCTGGGATTGATAGCATGTCGATAGCAAATTTGCTAAGGCTAGGGTGGCGATCGCGGAGTTCTACCCAGTATTTTATAGGGTCGACGCCCTCGCCAGCGATCGGTTCGCTGCGTTTCCAAGCCTCATATTCATCTTCCTCGTTCTCCGTAAGCCCTGCAGGCTCAATAAAGTTGTTGATAAAGTTGCCGCGATTTCTGGAGCATTAACGCGTGTTCTTTTTGCTGGCATTATAGCAACGGCGAGGTAGATAGTAGCTGCAAATAGAGACGCGTTGATGGAGTATAGATGAGTGTGGTGGGTGATAAGTAGTAAGTGAAGTGTCGCAAAAGGAGAATATTGTTGCCAGGCGGTTAGCCGGAAATTTAGTAGCTTATTTGCTAGAAATATAGCAAAAAAGAGTGTATTTTATGTTATAACTAGGTTTCGAACTTACGCACTACACCTAAAAATCATCGTGAGATTGCCCCTCCACCAAGTCCTTCAGCCCCAAGTTTCCAACCGCCCCATCTAACCAAGCTAAGCAAGCTGACTGAGCGAGCGCCTATCCCTAAGCTCGCTCGGCTTGCAAGCGCGCATTGCGCGCTCAGCTCATTCGGCTTGGTCAAAACGTCCAAGCCGAGCGAGCTGAGCGAGCCGGCTCGCTCGTTGACAAGTATGGTTGCCACCTACTGCTTCACAAAGACAGCTTGCGTCTGGCGCAATTCCGAGCTCTTGGATATGATCGACTATATCCGAGTTGCCCTGATATGATGCGCGCCTTGAAACAAGTAGTAATGCCTGCTTAGACTGATTTGATATCGTCATCGAATCGCGCCAACCTTCCAAGATCTTTTTCGTTGCAGCAGTGGATTGTTCAACGCTACACATTATAAGGACTTTGAACAGAAGTTCTGGGGGTTCTTCTCGACGTGTGAACTTCAGTGGATACATCGAACAACGTATATATGCGTCCACCAAAGGCTCATTGGTCCAAAACCGTCGGTATTCTAAGTCTACACATCTTATCGTGGCATGCGCCATCAAAAGGCATTGCATAATCGCGCAGGTATTAGATGGATACTCAACAGCGCCGACATCGAGATGTAGTAAATGATATGTAGCACCTTGATTCTCATTAGCCTCGCGATTGGGATTGGCTCCGTGACGGATGAGGATTTGCACGACCTCGAGACGATGGAATTTGCATGCTAAGTCGAGTGGAGCGGATACCCTGCCACCAAAACGACAAGTGACCCGGTTAGGATCCATGCCCTTGCCTAGCAAAATCTCTACAATGACGGGGATGTTCGATTTGATAGCGATAGTCAGGATACTTTGCTGGAGTGCAGAGGTGTAAGGTTCTGGTATCGCATCCAGAATATCTTCCATCTGAGAGATGGAGAATCGCTTCACTTGCTCGAAGATGCTATCGAATGCGGCGTAATCAGAACCAGCAAAGTTATTCATGAGGAGAAACATGATCTGCTTTACGATAACGATGTCGGCAGAAGCTCTCTGGAGCTCTTGGCTGGTTTTCCAAGGGAGTAGATGCCTCATCTGGGTCGATGTGGAGATGATGTGGTTTTGGACGCTACTAATCAAAGGCCGAAATCCTTGGAGCAAAGAACTGTTCAGATTGTCAAATAGCGAGGTGGTGTTGGCAGGTATGTCAAGTTCCATCATGGACCAACCGGGACAGGCTCGGCGCGTGATGAGGTAGTCGGCGTCGTCAGCGAACTGGCTAGATGGACTAGGAAAAGTGGATGGGAGCATGGCCAGAAAATCCGGAGTACGGGCAGAATTGGACGCTTCGCCAGCGACAGAACCAGACAACAGCAGTTCGGAGAAGTCACCGGAAAAGACTTGGGCATTGAAACTCAAGCGGAAGTCGGCAGACCACTCAACGCGTTCGCTGTGTCGCATGTTCGATGTGCGAGATACGAGACCAGAGTCGACACTTCGAGGTACCAGACTGGTAGTCGGCTCTGCTACCTCTTCCGAGTCTTCTCGGATGATGATGCCCTTGTAAGGGGCTAGACCCCAGCGGCCGTATCGATGACGATACACAGATGACTGATCAAGAGATGCCTTGTAACAGAGTGGATTTGACAAAGAGCTACAAAAGGATGCTAGCTGTACATAAATACAGGAGCGGACCGAAGATGGGCCGAAGTAGAATTAGATGGATGATGACAGAAACCTATAGATGTATCTCGAAGGAATCGCATGACGACAGCTACGCACACAGCGTAGCGCATGTAATAGGCTCAGCCTGTTACAGCCCTCAGGTCAGAGTTGCTATCAGTCAGTTCAGTCAGTCCGGAGCTCTCTGGACTGACTGAACTGACGTCCTGAGGTCACTGAACTGGACTGGACTGACTGCCAAGACTTTTCAATTAAACTAAAACTGACTGACTGAACTGACGTCGCCGCGGCCTGCGGACTGACTGGACTGACTGAACTGAGTTACCTGACGTCGAACTGAGATAAATGCTCCTGTACTTTTGAGATTTCTTCCTCTGATAGTGTGCGCGCTAGCCCAGAAGCTGAGGTAGTTGTTGGCTGTATACCAAGCCTCTTCCAGCCTCTTCAAGCTCTGCAAAGCTGAAATAAGCTCTGGCTTCATATGGAGTCTCCGGGTGCCTAACATGTCGCCAAGCTCGCTGAAAGTCCGCTCACAGTCTGCCGCTGCTGCTGGTATTGTTAGGACGTCAATAGCGAACTTTGAGAGTATAGGGAACTGCCCAGCAACTGACTCCCAGTATAGAAGCGGATTAAGAGACAGCCAATCCTCCTCAGCTAACGCTGGTTGCCGCTTCCATATCTCATACTCATCCTCAGCAAGGCTTGCCTCTAACTGCCGTGTGCTTTGCTCAATTGACGACTGTAGAAAAGCTGATCGCGACGTTGAAATCCCTAGCCGGGGCTTCTTACGCGGCGGCGTTACAGTGTGAGCTGAAGTGGCTGCAGAGTCCTTCCGCCCCTGCCACATACGCAGGAATGCCCGGTGGTTATTGTCAAGCCAGCCGTCGCGATAGTGGACACCGTCACGGGCAGTGACATGGGTGTCAGGCACCTTCCAGAGCGCTGAGAGGTGGTGTTTGTAGTGCGGGTGTAGTATTGTAGCAGTGTAGTAGACAGGCGCGTTATCGAATTTTGCGTAGTACTTAGCAAGCTTACAATGTGCAAGGTTAACGTTTGTAATAAGATGATCTTCAGGCGCATCTAGATCTTCGTAATTTACATCCTTAAGGCGGTCTTTGAGAGCCTTAAGCTGGTTAAGAAGCTACTCAAACGTTACTAGAACTTCCTATATAGCGCCGTGTCGGCCGTGTCGGCCGCGACCTTTAAGTAGCCGTGTAGCTTCGGCAAATGGCTCAAGGAGTCGAATGTATTCTGTTATTGTCGCCTAGTCCTTGCCGCTTAGACCCCCTTCGCGTATATATAACCGTGGCTGGGCAGCAGGGAGCTGCTCACGATTCTTCCGGCGTCGTGAGGTTGCTGTTGCAGCACTATGCTCCTCAAGTTTACACTCAATATAGCCATCGATAGGGCCGTGTAGCTCAGCTGCACGGACAAACGTGTTGAAATAGCTATTCCAGCGTGTCTTAACAGGCTTCACAAGCTGCCGGATGTGGGGTGTAACACCTAGAGACTCTGCCTCCTCGCACTGTAGGCGCTCTAGTAGTTGTCGAGTTTGAGGCGTACAGATAGACGCAATCACGTCAAAGAGGACGCCAACAGGACCGTATTTGCGCCACTCATCCATGTACTTCTCCTCTTCCTCAAGGTGTGCGGCTTCATTCTCGTACGCGCTACGGTCTTTGCCCCAAATTACTAATTGTGCGCTTAGGTTGAGTATATGGCAGCAGCACCGCAGCCGCCGCTCGCTTGCGATAAAGCCAAACTCCTCTGCTAAGGACTCAACTGCAGTATCATTGTTACTTGCGTTGTCAAGCACAAAGTACCCAACCCTCGCGTTGTCAACGCCAAATAGCCGAAGTATTGTTGTTGCTGCAGCGGCAATATTATTGCCAGTGTGCGCCCCGTGTAGCTCAGGCAACCCAAGCAGGTGGTCAACTAGCTTGCCCTCGCTGTTAAGGTAATGTACGCAGAGGCCAGTAAAAGCATACTGCCCACCAGTTGAAGTCCAGTTGTCGAATGACACGTGTATAAGCGACCGGGCTTCGCGAAGGTAGTTGGCAACAGCTAGTATGTATGTATTGTACTCAGTAATAATATGATCGTGGAGCGTTTAGTGGCTACGCCAAAGGAGAGCTTCGGCTAGCGGGCTCACGGCCGCAATCATGGCTCGAAACTGCGGCGTTTCTATTACGCGAAGGCTCTGGTTGTCCGCGACTACCCAGTCCTTCAGCGCGTCCTGAAATCGAGAGGTTGAAAAGCTTGCTGCTATCTCGTTTGCTACCTCTTGCGATACTTCTATCCCTTTAGACCTCATAATATATACTTGGGACTTTGCGAGCGCGCCCATAATATTGCCCTCCCGGCTAGCAATTGGTACAGGTCCGTTAGGTCCGTGTGAGTGTCCAGGCTTGTTGCTTGAGAGGTGTCGGCCGGCGTTTGTAGTGCTGTCAGCCTCGTAGCAAGCCTCCTGCTTCCGTCGTTGATGGCAGTACCGGCAAAGCCAGTAGTTTTTCTTGTACTTGCGGTGCCAGACGGCCCAGCCGTGGCGGTAGATCCAGCTTTTTGGCCCACCGCGACTATTACGCTCAACCTGGCGCCGCTCAAGATACGGCACACGCTTAAAATCAAGCCCGTCGTAATTGTCGTCGTCGTCGTCGTCGTCGCCGTCGTTGGGGAAGTCCGCCTGTACTGCCAAGGGCTCATCAGCCTGGGCCTCGCTCGCAGTATCGCCAACAGTAGGCGCATTTGATAGCGATGGTAGAGGAGAATTGCGCTTGTCGCATTCTACAAGGCGGCGAAGGCCTGAATTAGAGGGAGTAGACATGAAGTACACCAAGAAGTATTATGGCAACAGTAGTCTAGCGTCGTGTGTATAGCAGACGCGACGCGACGCGACGCGAAAGGCTTACTAGGTGCGCACCGGGTAGCGCATTTCCGCAAACTCTAATTAGCTTAAAGCTAGATGCTTTAACTTATATAGGATTAGTGTCTTTATATCTAGGACTAGCGCGGCTTCGAAGCCGCACTAAATGTGGCTTTCACAACTCTAAAATACTGCTTTAAAAACAGCTAACGTCAGTCTAACGTCAGTCAGTTCAGTCAGTCTGGAGGCTTCTGAACTGACTGGACTGACGTCCAGCTGCCTCAAGAACTGACTGACTGAACTGAGTCTTGGCAGTCAGTTCAGTCAGTTCGAACTGAGTTACCTGACTGATAGCAAGTCTGCCTCAGGTAAGGTGTCGTTTCTACAGTTTTGTCCCTCCGCAGTGCACAGTCGGTGTCGAGCTGTCTCTTTCTTGACCTTCTCACTTGAAAGCCTGGTGCCGTAGGCGTATACACAGGATAGTTGGCCTTCGTTGTTGCGACGTTCAATGATGTGCCCGATAGTATGCCAGGCTTCTCCGGTCAGCTTCTTTCGAAAGCCCCAGCGCCTGAATTGCGTCTCGTATTGTGGCTTGCTTCAGGAGGGTGAGATATAGATCGATATGTATTTTGAAAGCTACAGTGCTCTTACCTTGCGTGTAACCCGTCTTGCCTCATGAGCTTTATGACGCCACCTTGTCCCTCCAGATTCTTGTTTTCCATCAAGTAGAGCCGCCTGATAGTCGCTTTGTGAGTGTCCCATTGTGTTTGGGATATCCTAGAGTGATTGACTCTGGGCATGATGAGTACTATGGATTTAATTCTGGACGAGATGAATGGTATGTGAAATAGAGGTGCAGCATGTCACTTTCCAGCGAAGTCCAGCTGCTTTTGAAGGACAAGGCTGGAAACAGAATTTGGAAATCCAGAATCTGGCAAGGAGGGCTGAGCTATTCAAACACCATGGAGGCTGAGTTGTTGCTGTTCGACCGGTGTGCTTCGCCTCGCCCTTCAACGCCAGTCACAGGCGCCACCATGCATGCTGTGTGGTATTCGGCCATTCGGAAGACGATTACAATTCCAGAATCTGGATTCCGGCGTCATTGGGACCACAGTCCGCAACAATCAATTAAGTGGGTCCTAGAAGGTTCAGATTGGATTGATTGATTACCGCTTTAAGCCTAGTAGTTACCTATAGGAGTTTAAGCCCTACCTAGATAGGTAAGTGGGTCTAGGAGAGTGACCGGATTGAATTGATTGTTGCGGAGTCTATTTGGGACAAGGCTGATTGGGGGCCATGTACCAATCTGCAAAGTGGGGCTGGAGCCATAATCTGTAATCAGGCTGACATGCATGGCACGGTGCTGTGGCTGAATGGAGGATGCAGGACGGCATGCTGAGAGAGACGTGTGGAGGGAGGGAGGTTGCGACCAACGGAGGGGTGGGCCTTGCGCAATCCACATATCGGAAATCTGAAGTCGGAAGTCGGAACCAGGCTCCCCTTAAAACCAGAATCTGTCTTGACCTCGCCCTTCAGCAACCCCAGCAACCAGATTCTGGAAGTTGTTCACTACCCATGAAAATGAGCCCAGGCGTTTCAAAGAAGCCTTTTAGATCACGATAGAACCCAGAATCTGGAAACACCTTTGTATATGTAGAAAATGCTCTCGTCCCGAGGTCACGAATTTCCATCGGGCTACCCCATACCTAGGTACTCACCTGCCAGTATCTCATCACTATCTATTCGGGTTACAGATCTTTACAAAAAGCCCATTCAGTCCTATATCTTCACCTTTGAAAAGTCACATCCATCGAAATACCCAACTGGTCACTTGAAGCGCGCATCGCCCTCATCACCCTGCTTATGCAAGTCGCTATCCCTTTACTTGCGCTTGCCTTCAGAATCGCATATAAAAGATGGTTTGTTCGACAGCCACGTAATTCAATCCTAATCCTCTAGTTGTACTATAGCTAAAGGATATTTAGGTCATAATCAAACAATGCTACCACTACACCGAGAGCCGCGTCGAATAGTGCCACTACATCGCGGGCACCCAATGATCCTAGCCCGAACATGGAATTTCTCTACACATGTAATGGTGTATTAGATGTTGTTGTGATTGATGTAAAAGCGATGACTGCAAACTCATTCACATGTACAATATTACTCCATCAAAAGTGTGGCTTTGCTGTCAGCCCCAAACTTCAAGCCCCTACTTCTTCCCCACAAAGCGATCCTTATCCTCCAACACACCTCTTGCCATCTCCAACTGCTCATCAGTCTGGACAACCAGTGTTTTATACCGCGCGCTGCTAGAGCTAATATCCGTGACCACCTCATCCACTTGAGCCTCATTCTTCTTGTCAATGGCAAAGCCCAAGCACTTCACACCCTGCACGACTGCCTGCCTCAGTTTGCCACCCTTCTCTCCAATTCCTCCCGCAAAGACGAGAGCATCGACTTCGCCATCGAGCTTGGTGAAGTAAGGGCTGACGTAGTTCAAGATGCGGTCGACGAAGATGTTGAACGCAAGCTTATCCTCGTGGCGGTCGGAAGAACTGATCTTGCCAAAGTCGGTCGTTCCGGTGAGACTCTTCCAGCCGCTCTTCTTATTTAGAATCTCCTCGGCTTGTGTGATGTGTAGTTTCTCGCTGGAGCTGTGCGATGGCTTGCCCGCGCTGTGCGTGTAATGGAACATCAAGGACGGGTCGATGGAGCCTGACCGCGTCGCCCCTGGTAGACCAGCCAGCGGGGTTAGTCCCATCGTTGTGTCGAGCGACTTGCCGCCCTTGATGCAACATGTAGATGCGCCGGAGCCAAGATGGAGCGCAATAATGTTGACCTGGTCCATGGGCTTGTTCAAGTGAGTAGCTACAGCGTTGGTGATGAAGGAATAGCTGATGCCATGAAACCCATACTTTCGCAGTTTGTTCTTCTGCGCGACTTCTTGGTCGATGGCGTAGGTGCATATAGAGTCCGGCAGTGTGTTATGGAAAGAAGAGTCAAAGTATGCGATGTTCTTCGCATTTGGGAGGATCTCGGCCACGGCGCGGACGATGGTGAGTGCAGGTGCGTTATGGAGGGGCGCGAGGTCAGATAGCTCCTCGATGTGGTGGTATGTCTCCTTGTCGATGACCTGGCTTCTGGGATAGTCACCTCCATGCACAACGCGATGGCATGTGAAGTGAATATCCTCTTTTCGATTTAGCTCAGCCAGTCCCTCATCGTTGGTAAGGTGGTCCAAGATGTAGCGGAATCCGTCTTCTTGTGTTTTCACATTTTCCAGCTCTCTACCTTTGATCTTTTCATCGCCGCGCTCGTACTTGAGCTTTGCAGGCGGCGCTGTAAGTCCCTCTACTGTTGCTTCTGCGAGTTGCGTAGGTACTCGCGAGTCATTGTCTGGAGTTTTGTAGACGGATATCTTGACGCTCGATGAGCCCGCATTTATCGATAGAATAATTTCAGGCATGGTTGTCGTTTTCAGTTTGTCTTGAGGATAGTTCTGTGTTTAACTTTTGGTAATGGTTCTAGGTTCGAGACATAGACCCTAATTAGTCCATTGTGGAGTAGAAATGACGTAGTACGAAAATTGGGGAGTAGTCGAAGATATCAAGATAACCTCAATACAGTCATAGAAACTAAAGATCTATAAATAAAAATACCCTGATATTCTCGTCCTGAAGTTTCAAAGGTGTCGTGAAGACTTTTGGGGTCAACATTGAACAGTTGGCTCGAATCACGAGATATCGAAGTTTTTGCGCCCCGAAAATTACGCCACCGAGGTCACCGTCATGAATACGTTAGCTATAACTGACCATCAATCTGTAGTTATTCGTCAAAAGATTCATCGCAATCCGTTCCAAATATCGGCTGTTGACTGCGTTCTTTGTGTTAACTGACATGACGTCATCCCCTGCTTTCACCTAGCGCCCGTCGGCGGTCTCGGGGTAGGATACCTAACGTCGACTGCTCCGATGAACATGAACATACAATTTCGCACCACTACAATCACGTCGCCAAAGCACATGAAAAGTCATGGGAAAGGATTCATTCCTGCATATGACCCCGCAGTTGGCGTGCAGCGTGCACTGCGGGGAAACCCGAGTCGACTGCACAAAGCATATATTTGAATCAGACATTTGTGACATCTATACGTTACTCTAAAAGCTATTTCTACAACCTAACTGTATAGAAAACGACAATGGCGGAAAAGCCCAAGACAGCGTTTATAACAGGTACGCTTCCCACTTCACTCCGACTACATCAGCTAAACCCTAGTTACCAGGCGGAGCAAGCGGAATAGGCCGCGCCCTCAGCATCCATCTCCTCTCAAAAGGCTGGCACATCTTCATCGCCGACGTCAACACGACCTCTGCAAAGCAACTCGCCGACGAGCACAACACCTCAACTACCATCTTACACTATTCCGAATGCGACACCACATCCTGGGAATCGCAACTCTCCGCCTTCCGAAAAGCTCTAAAAGCGCTAAACAGCCGCATCGACTGCGTCTTCCCCATTGCCGGAATCAGCGAGCGAAAATGGCTTCCCACCCCCTCTGAAACCAACGCCATGGAAACCGACGAGTTCGCTAAACCCAATCTCTCCGTCATCGATGTTGACCTCACAGCCGTTCTCTACACCGTCGCGCTGGCCATCCAACAGTTCCGACGTCAAGAACCCATCGCTTGGATGGGAAACCATCGGTTCCGCGGGAAAATCGGTCTGGTGGCTAGTATATGCGGGTTCTACTGTATCCCCAGTGTGCCTGTATATACCGCTGCTAAGCACGCCATCGTAGGGTTGACGCGGTCTTATGGTGCTCTACTTAAAGATGAGGGTATCACGGTCAATGCTGTGGCGCCGAATGTGGTTAGAACGGCGATTAGTTCGGGTGCTTTCTACGACAAATTGGAAGCAGAGGGTGTGTTGACGCCGATGGAGGGTTTGATGAGCGCTTTCGATGAGATACTTCAGAGTGATAATAGTGCGCTTGTGTACGAGTGTGGGCCGAATGGTGGGTGGAGTTTACGAGAAGGCGCGCAGTATTTGGATGAAGAGAGTGGGAAAGCTTGTGATATGATTTCAACGCGATCGATGACGTTGCATTATGAGACGCAGTGATGTTCAGCAGGTTTGGTATACAGCCATTTTCATGGGCTCAATTATCTAGATCCAGTCTTTTGTATCCTCGGACAAGCATCGGCTCACGATACGTCTTCACGCTCTCTCAACACCTTCGAGCGCCTTGATGTCATACTACTGCCACGCCTCAGACGAACGACTAGTGCACCAAAACCTTGCATATACTGCCACGTCCCCCCTAATCTACATCACAAGCACATACCGCACCTTAGCCTCGTCATCAAACACGAAAATCCTTCCCCTCCGCTGCCGCATATCACGTACCCCCTCTTCCCACTCATCCAAACCCTTTATTCCCACGTCTCTCTCCGTCGCGCCATTAGCAGCCATCCCGGCAGCGGTGCTAAAAACTCCGGGGAGCACGGCCACGAGCTCGTTTTCGATGACATTTTTTCCGCTGGTTTCGACATTTGTTTCGTGAGTGGAGAACATGGCAGATGTGGGGTTCGCGCGTGGTATGGAAGGAGAGGACGTGTAGATGGCTAGTGTCGATAGTAGGCTGAGGAGCATCAGGGTAGGCCAAAACATTGGGGGTGAGATGGAATTTGGTGAGTGTGTGTTGTGGTATTGTTGGATGAGGAGATTTAGTGAGTTCACAACTGTTTGTAAGGGAATTTATGTGTTTTTGAATGGATTTCTGAGATGAGACAAATTACAGGTCACTAGGTGTAGAAATTGCGGGTTGTCAGACAGCAAAGCGTTGCGTGTGTTGATGCCGTGTCTCGCCGGGCAGATGCCTGAGACATGCCCTTTTCCGTATCTACAAGTGAGACAGCCAAACGAAACGTTCACGTCCAAACCCAGCGAATAGACTACCTCCACTCTAGAACTTGCACAGTGTTTGCATAGTCTCTTTTGTGCTTTGCGACGTCTCCTTGACCACCTTGATAAGGTCTTTGAACCTGTCCAGTGTCAGTCTCTGTCTTCCCAACATTCATGTCTAACACTAACTCGGGATTCCCTGCATCTTGTACATATTCATACAGAAAGCTCTCGCTCGTTGTCACTGTGGCGCCTTCATGTCTCAGCCTTGCCAGCGCAATGGGTACCTCCTCTTTGTTGCAGCTGCTTACACCATCCGCGATGATGTAGACTTTGTGGCCGAATCGGAGGAGGTCGAGCGTAGTCTGGGTGATGCATATGTGGCTTTCGATACCGACGACGATGCAGGAGAGGGGACCTGGGACGTTGAGCGAATCGAGAGCTTGTTTGACTTCTGGTGTTCTAGGGGTGTTAGTCAAACGTGTCCAAATTCTGGGTGAGAAATTAGACCTACATCATAGAAAACAAAGTCTTGTCAAGGTGACAGACCGTCTTGATACCATCGGGCTGGTCCAACATCAATTCTGGACATGTCTCGCCCAAGCGCGCTTTATTCTGGGTTGTCGCGAATACGGGGATGTTGAATAGCTGGCCTAGTGTTTTTAGCAACCTCGAATGAATAGTTGGGAGATTTCGTATGTAATCGATGGTGAGGCGGGGGAAACACGCCAAATGCATTCTTACGTCCACATACTAGCCTTCAGCAACTTCTGCGCCGTCGCAACAACTCTCGGAAACTCATCAATCGCCGGCCGAAACTTGTCCTGCAAGTCGCAAATACTGCCTCATATTTAGCCCATGCAGTCATCCAACCGTCGAAATGCATACAAGAGAGCGGGGTTCGCTATGATGCGGGCATCAGCCATTATGCTACAACATGGTTGCTGAGCTGCCTACCAATCCGTCGCTGAGCCATGGCTGAATGTATTGTTCTTTGAGCGGTGATGTAGGAGTGGAAAGACGCTGTTGGTCGGGCGATGCGAGGAATGAGTAGTTGTAGCATGGTTAGTGGTCAGACGCGCATCATGTCGCACGCGATGCCGAGATTGGAGGGGTGACGTGGGAGGTTCGGTAGAGGGGTATTGCGCCCGCCGTAATTGGATCTTCCCCCACGCTTTAGCTCAACCGTTTGCCCGAACGTACGGTGCGAGTGCGAAGCGAAGCGCGTCATGTTTATTTATTCTAACCTTGGTTTTATCGTCTAAAACTACCAAGTCTCTTGACGATAGCGTCCATCCTTTTCCATACCGACCAAGTACTTCTCTGCGCCTTCTCTATCCATGGGACCGTGCTCTTGGAACGCTTCTATCAGGGCTTCGCGTACCGCTTGGGGCATCTTTCCCGAAGATCCGCATATGTACAAGATGCCAGACTTTTGGAATAGATGGGAGAAGATAAGTGATGATTGCTGACGAACAATGTCTTGCACGTAGACTTTTTGGCGCTGGAAGCGTTAGCGTGGGGGCGAAGGGGACTAAACGATGAAGTATCTACCTGATCTCGGGAGAAGGCGGTAAACACTTCCAGTGGTACACCGGAAGACTTTAGCGCGGCCCATTCATCTTTGAAGAAGTAGTCCGACTTGGCATTCCTACAGCCGAAAAAGAGGACATCTTTGCTTTCCTGCCCTTGCGCATGTCCATTTTGCAGCTGCTTCGCCTCTTCGCGCCAGAGCATACGTTGGTATACCAAAGACCGCATAGGTGCGACACCGGTCCCGGGTCCGATCATAACGACGGGCCTATTCAATTCTTCCTTACTCACGCCAAGGCCCCCACGAGAAAGGGTGACTGTGATCTCTTGGCCCGGTGTGAATGAGGCAATGTATCGCGTAGCAACACCCTGTCGTATCCGTTTGATGACTGTCTTGTACTTTACAATCGCAATCAATAGCTCAATCTTCGTTTTCCTTTCCACGTCCGCAGTGGGATTCATTGCACTTGCAATACTGAATTGACGGCCACGCAGAACGGGGATAATGCTGCATACGCGCTGCCATGGTATCTTGACAGACTCAAATTCTTGCAAGACTTCCAAGATACTACGGCGAGGACGGCTAGTGTAGTCGTATAGCTCATCGATGTATTGTGGATCTGTGAACTCGAGTAGTCGTGCTTTGTGGAACTCGTCAGATGTATAGTGTGCGAGTTGAGCGAAGAATGAACGCCGTGGTATTGCGATGATGTCGAGGTGGTTGGTCAAGAGGCGTCGTAGTGTTATCGTGCTTTCTGGCTTTAGGGTCCTAATGGGTGGGATTGCGTTTGGTGGTGTGGATGGCGAAGGAGTGAAGCGTAGGGGCATGTCAGCAACGGATGTCCAGCCCATGCACTCGAGAAATTGGGAGACGTCAGAGGGGAAGTTCTTCGGGTAGATGGTAAGCACGTCACCGGGACTGTATGGATGTGTCTCTGGAATTTCAAACTTGATGTGTCGAACGTCCTGCCAGTGGGTTGTGGGGGTGACCCGTTCATTGCTGGTAATCTTGGCAGTGAGTCCGCCAGGAATGTCTAGGAGATCATTGGGAGGGACGTCAGCGTCACCATTGGCTACAGACTTTGCGTCGGTGTTGTCTGCAACCTCGAGCAGCCATTTAGGCTCTAGTAAAACGTCGTCCGGTATCGGCTCGAGATTTTCAGGTAGAGGGCACGAGTCAAGAAGATGCTGGCGAAGTTTGGTCGACCATGGCAGAAAGGAGCCGTCGATACTTGCAGGTCAGATACACAGAAGAGGAGTAGTATTTGATAATGACATACCCTTCTGGGTGCTGTTCGTCAGATTCCCCACGATCGCATATCGGCTGGGCACCGAGCTGGACCAGGCGGTTGTAGAGCTTACGGTGCGCCCAGTTGTACTTTGGGTACGAAGTATCACCAAGACCAAACGACGCAAACCGCATCTGCTGCAGACATCCCGGCCGCAGACGAGCACTTCGGATTGCCTTCCAAAACTTTTGACTGTTTGGTGGGAGATCTCCCTGGCCAGTGGTCGATATGGATATGAGAACCACGTGATATTGCAGCAGTTGTTTCTACCAGAGGTCAACCATCGTCGCCAACACAGCACGGCCACTAACATACAAGACTGATGGCATTTAACTCAGCAACCTCCGTCTCGAATCGCAGGCGTTCTGCAACCCTCCCCATTTCCTCAGCCACATCTTGCGCATTGCCCGTCTCGGAGCCATAGACAACTAGGGCGCGGTGTGAACTCGACATGGCCAACTCAGCAGTACACTTGGTGAGGCTAGCTGCAAGGCGAGAAGGGAAATTTGAGCGGCAGGCCCCCCGGACCCGTCGCATGAAGAAGCGGTGCACTAGCGGACACGTCAACGGCAGGCGGGTCTCTCCTGTTAGCGCCGTGGGGCGACTCGACGTCTGGTGTGGCGTTCTCCCCATAGCTGTGGCGTCGCCTCGCTTGCAGACTGGCTTAGGTAAGCAGAGCATTCCAACCGTCAGTCGTCGCGTCGTCGCAGCGACAAGGCAGGGCTCTGATCACTTTGCGAGCCAAGCCGGCCGTTGCAGCCTTGTTTGTCGATGCACTCTGCACTAGTCGCCGTTTCCCCTATCGTGCACAGTGAAGGCTGAGGTGGAGCTGCGCAGGGGCCGCTTCCGTTTCCCAAAGTGGTCAAGCTCCATGGCTGCGTTCTTCAAAATAATCCAGCCCGCTCCCTTCCATTCCCCCCTTCAAGTCAACCACAGAGACAAACAACGCACCCCATCAATCCACACCTCTCTCAACCTTCCCCGGGCTCGTAGCTACCCACTCCACACCCCCCTCGTCAACAGTTCCACCAACAGGCGGTTCGACAATCCCATCAACCACTCAATAATCCACTGCTGTTCAAGGTTACCTTTACCGGTCAAACCAGGACTCCAAGTTTCCTCAACTTTACTACACGCCGATTCCAATCCCGTGTTCGTCAACCAAAAAAACTTCAGCAATCATGTCCGCACCTGTCGACAGTGTAACCGCCCAGATGGCCACCACCTCCCTCAACGACGCCGCTCCTGCCACCACGACGGAGAGCACGGCCGCTCAACAGCCCACCGCAGCCGAGGACGAGGCTGTGCGTGCGAGCGCCGCTGAGGGCAGGCGACTTTACATTGGAAACCTCGCGTATGCGACCACCGAGGGGGAGTTGAAGGACTTCTTCAAGGACTACCTGGTGTATGGACCCTGAATTGGCATGACGCACTAAGCTAACACGTTGCACAGCGAGTCCACGACCATCCCCACTAACCCACGCACCTCGCGCCCCGTCGGCTACGCCTTTGTGGCTCTGTCGACCCCGTCCGAGGCTGAGCGTGCTATTGCTGAGCTCAACGGCAAGGCCATTCTTGACCGCAAGGTCTCCATCCAGCTTGCCCGCACTCCCGAGGCCCATGCTGAGGGTGCCGGTAGCGGTGCCGAGGGCAACACTGGCGAGGCCCGCCGCCGCACCTCTACTCGTGGACGTGGTCGCGGCCGTGGTCGTGGTGGCCGCGCTGGCCGAGGTGGACGTGCTGTAAGTAACCTGCATTCTATTGTGAAGCATCGCTGACAAGAATGTCCAAGAAGGCCGATGCCGAGGGCGCTGAACAGGTCGAGCTCTCCAACGAGGCCCCTGCCGACTCTACTCCTACAAATGTACCCGGCCAAGTTGCTCCCCTAACCGAGACTACGAACGAAGCGCTTACCGCAAAGAAGGGTGCCGACAAGTCCGCCGCTCCCCGTGAGCCCCGTGAACGCAAGCAGCGCGGTCCTCCCGAGGATGGCGTTCCTTCCAAGACCAAGGTCATGGTTGCCAACCTGCCATACGACCTGAAGGAGGATAGGGTATGTTTTGGACTGTGTTTTGGACTGTAGTGTAGTGCATTACTGACATGTGTAGCTTCTCGAGATCTTCAAGGACTACTCTCCCACTCAGGCCAAGATCGCCCTCCGCCCCATTCCCCGTTTCATGGTCAAGAAGCTCCAGGCTCGCGGTGAGCCCCGCAAGGGCCGTGGCTTCGGTTTCGTCACCCTTGGTTCCGAGGAGCTCCAGCAAAAGGCTTGCTCCGAGATGAACGGCAAGGAGATTGAGGGCCGTGAGATTGCCGTTAAGGTCGCGATCGACTCGCCCGGTAAGGAGGACGACGCTCCCGAGGGTGCTGCCGAGGGTGAGGCTGCTCCCACTGAGGCCGCTGCCGCCACCGAGACTCCGGAGAAGGCTGCGGACACGGCTGCTGAGACTCCAGCTGCTGCTACTCCCGCTGCTTAGGTAGCGGCTGCTGCTTAGTCGCGCTCGACTTGAGTTGCGTCACGGCACTGCGCTGTGGCTTGTACGAAGACTCTGGCTATCGACATCTACCATTTAGCGTGATAGATATAGACTAGAGCCTAACATGTTAGCATCCGAGGTATGGGTATATCCGCAAAAGTGTGAATTTGGAGTCTATCATGGCATGGGTCTTTAGGTGGACTATATCGGATTCACAATGATTACGGACTTTGAGTTAGCGAAATGATATGATGAACAAGCTCGTGACGAGCTGATGATACATGACTGATTCTTATATGACTGGTGCTTTGGTTGAAAAGTGAGATGTGAGGAGTGATACACGTTGAAGATATGTTAGTGGTATAAAGTGGAATAGAGGAGGTTTAGTGGTATGACGTGATATATACTATATGAAGTGATGTAGTGTATATGTATAGACAAGATTGGTATCATTCCAGAACATGGGCAAACTAGTCTAAAGCAAACAAATCTATCAAAAGGCCCCTGCGCTGGTATGAAACTAAGTTAAAGTACCCATTTCCAACGCCAACACCAACATATGCATGTTGAAGCCCAATACATCTAATGGCCGTGCGAATGCGCATGACCTATCTGTGTCACGAGCGGGAGCAGCATGCCCAGCATGACGATGCCAATGTCGCCCTTGGACAAACTATTGCCACCTGGATAAGCGTCCATGTATCCGTTTGTAGTAGGGTCCTCGTTCCCGTGCTGCGATGTAGCCTCAGACATGGAGTGCATAGCGACGTATCTGTCAACGTTAGCAGGATATCAAAGGGTTGGGGGAGGGGCGAGGAAAAGACTTACAAAAAGGTTCCACCAGAAAAACACAAGACCCAGCCTGTTGCCCAGGTCAAGCCCTCATCGCCGCCGAGATGGTTGCGGCCGAACATGTGGACAATGGCCCAGGTTGCTATCGCGCCAGCTGGAGCTGCTAAGCTGAAGAAGGCAAGATGAGTTCGGGCTTTGCGTTTCGAGAGACCTTGTTTGAGGAGGACGGAGGTGAGGCCAAACGCTGCAGGGGCCTTGTGAAGCATGATTGCGAAGAAGATGACTAGGGAGAGAGATGTAGATTCGGCGGTTGATGAAGCGCCCAGAGCAATGCCATCAGCGCAGGCGTGGACTACGAGGCCAATGGTGGCTGCTGGCGTTTTCTTGGTAGGCGGAGGGGGTAGACCTGGTGTAGCTAGAGGAGTTACCGCCGCACTTTGCACGCCCATTCCGTTGAGACTGAGGGACGAGGAATTGTGCGGCCCTCGTGCTAGGTTCGAGAGGGAGATGTGCATTGGTTGGTATTTTGGTTGGTTAGACGCCAGGGCTTCTGGCAGGTGTTCAACCAGGAACATGAGTATGTATCCTAGGATCAACGCAACGCCAATGTATGCGTGTGGGCTGGGTCCATCTTCGTGGCCGGCCTCCATGTGCTTGTGGGCTGCTTCGTCGTCCTCGGGTGCGTGTACACGGCTATGTCCCTCCTTGTGGCCTTCGGTCGAGTCGTCGTCGCCGCCCTTTTGGGGGTGTCCATCTTCCACTGGCTTCTCCTTTTCTGCCGTTTCCTTCATCTTCCTCAGTTGCGCGTCAATTGCCGTCTTATCGCTGCTTAGATCCGCGGTGCTCGTACCACCGATGAGCGACGCCTTTTTCGCTTGATCTGCTCTTTTCCATGCCGGAAACCTGGGCGCGAGTGGCAGTGCTCTTTCCAGCGACGGCATAGACGGCTGGGCAACGCTCCGTGCGCTGTGCGTATGCGCCTTGCCTCCTGCGCTATACATTGTCTCGATACCTTCGGGTATAATGACGATCAGCGATGTACCGACAAGCACACCGGTTCCAAGGAGTGTGATAATGCGTAGTCGACGAGTCGACAGGTTAAAGGAGAGTGGAAGGCTGCCAGCGAGGAAAGAACTGTGCTTGTCAGCTATCTACAACTACCAGACATGTCGTCGACGTCGAAAACATACGCAACGCCCATGACGGTGCTCAGAGCGAGCAGCATAAGCAACCCTTCCCACATGGTGAAGTCGTGTGCAGTCGTGTGCAGTCGTGTGCAGTCGTGTGTAGTCGTGTGTCACTGTGTTTGTGCGAGCAAAAAAAGATGCGCCGGTAGGCAAAAGGAGAAGAATGACGTGAGCGCTTCAATCACTACTGGCCATGCCTCTTGTAATGGTCCGTCGCAATAAGGTTAGACTAGCGTGGGTGGAGCAGGCGCAGGTGTGGTGTTGCCTTGCCTCGTTGGCGTTGTGTCGTGTTCGAGACGATCCACTGCAACTTTTAGAGGCTTGGAATCAAGTCTCGCCTGTGACGGGTGTTGCAGGGGCGGGTCGCATGCAGGGCTGAGCTAGACGCGTCTCCCGGCGCGCTAACTCCTTCACCCGCGACGTAGTTGCTACTCCGTTTTGCTTTCAATCGCAGACGACGTCGCAAGGTATCTGCTCCTAACACGCTATTTACTTCACCGTGACCATGGAGCTCAATCTGGACGATTGTATGTACGGCCGCATGACTTTGCTCATGTATGTTAACGCCTGTAGGGGTCACCAATTCAAACGAGTGCTTCGACATCAATCTCTACCGTTCGACAAACAAAAATGGACCGGAACGCCTCTTCGACGCCTTTCATCCCAGCTACACGTATACGGTCATCGAGGAGAATGAGACGATTGCTGGCTACAAGAACCCCAGCATCCAGCTTGACTTTCGCGCAAACGACATGAAGCCCCAGCTGAAGATCTCGTTTGACCAGCAACTCGACCTCAAGAAAATCTCCCCAGACCTGAACCAGATCGACTTGTCGCCCGAGCTGTTTCGCGAATATCTCCCAGAGACGATCAACGAAGCTGCCGCACCGGCTCCTGCAGAATGGAAGCCGCCTGGTGAACGCCAGAGCTCTTTCAGCCTCCACGGAAAGCAGTACGAGATATGGAAGGCCTCTATGACGGACCCCGAGGCCAGGCGTATTTGGATAAACATGAGGTTACTGGTCATATTGTTCATCGAGGGCGCGACCATTGACGGCTTGGATGACGAGGAGACGTTGGACCGCTGGTCGCTATACCTGATGTACGACATGACGCCTCTCTCCCAAAAGAATGTGTCACCGTATACACTGGCTGGCTTCTCCACATCCTACCGCGCCTGGATATTCCCCACCTTTGAGATTGCGCGTGCCACAAAGCAGCTACCATCACCAGCCGCTAGCGTCGATGGCGATGGTGAAAAGTATACCCCGCCACGTCTGTCGCAGGACCCCGAAACCTTTCTCTTTACCGACAAGCTAGATCTCCTCCAGACGCCATCACGGGAGCGCATCTCGCAATTCCTCGTCCTCCCACCGTACCAAGGCAGATTGCTGGGAACTCGTTTGTACGACCATGTCTTCCAGGATCTGGCGACGAAGCCCTTCATCTACGAAATCCCAGTGGAAGATCCCAGTGAGGCCTTTGATGCCATGCGCGACTACGGCGACATTACCTATCTCCGCGCTCTACTTGCCTTCCAGAAACTATCCATCGCTTCGAACATTCCGCCAGAGTCGCTTCGAAAGGATTCGCCCATTCCGCGCGACCAGATCCTCGGCAATGGAATCGATCTCGAACAACTGCGCAAAGAGACCAAGATTGTTAGCAGGCAGTTCTACAGAATGGTCGAGCTGCATCTCTTGTCCACAATCCCGCCCAACAATCGCAGTCGGTCGCGAATCACGCGCAAAGCAAAGTCGAGCAACGAAAACGATCGCCGATACTACTTTTGGCGTCTGGCCCTCAAACACCGGATTTACAGTCAGAACGCAGATGCGCTGGACCAGATGGAGGATTCGGCCGAGAGGGTCGAGAAGTTGGAATCTGCTGTCGATAGTCAACAAGAGGAGTTTGAGGAGCGTCTGGAGGGATTGGAGAAGCGGCTGAGTTTGGCGGCTGATGACGCTGCCGTCCCCAGTGCGAGGACTAAGAGGAAGCGCGCTGTAGTGTTGGAGGATGATGAGGATGATGAATGGGAGGACATGGATGAGGAGTTGGAGGGAGGTACGAAGAGGAGGAGGCCGTAGGGTTGACTCTGGACATGACATCCGTGGGTTCAAGAGGGAATTGTAACTGCAGTCGTCTTGTGATTTATAGTGACGGTGGAGCCTATTGTATTCATAGTCAGGTCGTATACCCAATTGAACAATTCTCAATAGCCTGCATGCTCACTGTGAGATTAGTTGGACCCAGTAGTAATTCTCCTGGTCATGTAGCCCGGCGATTACATGCTAACTCCGCGCGGGGCAACTACCCCACGTCCAAATTTTGGAAACCAAAATAAACTTTTGATCGACATCTGCGCAAAGATATCAACTGCATTTTCTGTGATATCCGCCAGAATAAGACATTTACATTACCTTATAAACTTACAATTAGAGGCACCTGGTATCGTAAAAGCGAAGCTGGTACGATCCTCTACCAAGTTCGCAAACCAGATTTTACAACACAAAGACCCCACAATGGCAAACCGCCAATTCAACATCGCAGTGCTCATCTCAGGCAACGGCTCCAACCTCCAAGCCCTCATCGACGCATGCGCATCCGGCGCGCTGCCAAACACACGCATAACGCATGTGATATCAAAGTACGACCCACCCCAAACCACATCCCCACAAGCCAGCCAGCACTAACACCAACCGCCCAGTCGCAAAGCCGCCTACGGACTCGAGCGCGCAGCCAAAGCCTCAATACCAACAACCTACCACAACCTCGTGCCCTATAAAAAACAACACCCGTCCGACATCGACCTCGCACGCCAACAATACGACGCCGACCTCGCCAAAATCATCCTCGAATCTACACCCCGACCCGACCTCATCGTCTGCGCTGGCTGGATGCACATCGTCACACCCGCATTTCTCACGCCCATCGCCGCCGCCGGCATCAAGATAATAAACTTGCACCCTGCGTTACCGGGAGAGTTTGCGGGCGCGGGCGCGATTGAGAGGGCGTGGAAGGCGGGGCAAGAGGAGGGGTTGAAGAGGACGGGGGTTATGATTCATGAGGTTATTGCGGAAGTGGATGCTGGGGACGCGGTTGTTACACAGGAGGTTGAGTTGAGGGAGGGGGAGGCGTTGGAGGCGTTGGAGGAGAGGATTCATGAGGTGGAGCATGGGTTGATTGTTGAGGGGACGAGGAGGGTGTTGGGGAGGATTGGGGGGTTGTGAGGGGGGGAGGTGGTTTTGATACCCGGGATTAGAGAAATGTATGTGTGTATATTTGCATTTTGGCTTCATGTCTTCGGAGTGTGTGGAATATGGAATATGGAGTGTGGGGTGTGGGATGTGGAATGTACTGGCCGGTCATGGTGTATGCATCAAACTCGCCAGTTCTCACAAATTATCTCCATCCTTCCTCCCACCACATTAATCTATTCACCCACATCCCATCCCCCTTCGTACCGTCCAACCCACATACTTTCCCGCCAGACAAATCACAACTCCATCCCATTCCATTCTCTTATCTCCCATCTACCTCCCATCTACCTCTTCTTCTTTCCCGTCGCCGTAGAATCTTTCTTTAGGTCCTTGTTAGTACCTGGTCTCGTCCCTGTATTCGTAGTTGTAGTTGTTGAAGGGCGAGTAGACGAAGAGGATGAAGTAGTATTCGTTATACTTCTTTTCGGGGCGTTGAGCGAGCTGAGAAAGCAGCTGAACGCGCGCGCAAAGTTGAAGCTCAACACCAGAAAAAATCTATCCAACAAGCTCAACAACGCAAGCGTAAAGCCTCACGAGTACTCTCACCAAGTAAGAAGCGTCAAAAACGCGCTGGCGCTGCTCACGCTGGTGTTCAAGCTGGAGATGAGCTATCTGCTACTCCAGCCAAAGTCACATCACGTGGCCGCAACGTCAACCTCCCACAAAAATATAGATACTACAAGTTGATCGCAAGCATCTAATTACAGCCCCTCTACAGAATCTCATGATAATAGCTATTGTACGTGGCTCAATAGCCTCACTTTTGAAGTGGTGGATATGGTGTTCGGCGGGGCACGAGGTGTCTCCGGGCATGAGCTGTCCGTGCACGTTATAAAACATGTTATACAACACCAAATATTTGCAAATATACCAAACATGGCTTCTCAAACAACCAGACAAGCAAGCAAATACGCTCTCTCCGCCAAGCCTCTACCAAACAAGCAAGTATGGCAGCCTATACTTGCTTGATTTGTTTGTTGCGGAGTGTGAGTATGAGGGCCCTTTAGAGGCCGGAGGTCAAGAAGAGCTGTTTGCAGCTTATGTTTCTCGTCCAGGAAGTGAGCAACAACTGCCACATAGTTCGTTCCTTCTTCAGACGTCCAGGTATCAGTTGAGAGATGGATCTTGCTTTTGGTAAGATGGAGCTTTTCTTTTAGCCAAGTACGCCTCCCACCATCACCGTCCCACATCTCTTTAATCTAAGCGCTAAGAGTTGACGAGATCTTTGGCAGAACCTTATCCATATCCTCTAGGCAGCTGGTAAAGATGTTACAGGTGCGTTGATGCGTCGCTTGTCGAAAGGTAAGGTCAAGATTAACAGCCTAGTCAATAAACTCGCTCTTAAACCGAAAGTCATTAAATACTAAGCGCCGGCTTCTAAGATATAGTATGGAGCTCGTTTTTCCCTTAGCTATGTCGAACGGATTTGACGCCACTCGTTTGTAGCCGAATTCTTCGAGTTTGTGCAGATGCTTTAGGTGATAAATGATACTAGTAGTAGCCCCACTGTTAAATAGCGCGGAATTACGCTGGCCACTAATATAGCAGTACTTGCAGAGCCAGAACTTGTTATCTCCATCTGTTGTAAGCTGCGCGCCGTGTTTGTAGATTGCCGAGGATTAGGCTTTAGAGTTAAGGGTACGCTTGTGAGGCTGACGGTATCGAATTAATAGCAGTGGCTTCCTTTTATAGCGAATTTTGTCCCATTTAATATAGAAAGTGCATTAAGTAGATGTCGGCAGCTCTCTTTCACGGGTGGTTGGTGTAGAGGTCTCATAGGTTGGGGTTGAAACCAAACTTAGGGTTCCTAGGCGGCTCTCTGAGGTAGAGCTAGGGGGCTCGGAGGGGGTTTTAGGCAGAGAAGAACGTGTAGATCTCCCACGAGGCTAAAAGAACAAGTGAGAAGACATATTAGCTTAGAATTTGGTAGCCTTGTAAATAAAGACTGGAGGTGTTAGATTTTTCACGGCACATCTGGCTCTTTGTGCGTGTCAGATATTCACTCTCATCTGGAATACTGATGAAATAGGTAATGAATGGTGATGATGTTGATTATTGATTGTGTGTTTGTTCTGTCTACGGTTGTGGGCACACCTAGGGGGTGCCAAGCCTTCCTGTGATCCGATTGGCTCTCACAGATGCCGGGTCGCGCTAGTCTAACCCAGCGTCTGTACGCTCTCATCTTCAACAGTGCTATTATCTGACAGTGCGACTCCAGCCAATCACGATTTTGCGGAGTGCCCACCCGGTGAAGTCATAATTGGTTCGCTTAGCTAGCGTCACCTAACTCATCTTCGACATGCCTAGTACAGTAATTCTATCAAGCAACTTAAAGTTACTTTAAGTATTGTGAAAACCCTTGCTTGTGTTTGCTTGAATAAACCTTTACTTTACTTGCTTGTTACGCAATCAAGTAATGTCAAGCAAGCAGGTCAAGTAACTTGCTTGTTGACATCTCTGCTGCTAGGGACAGAACCTGGTGTTGTGCTGGCCACTCTGTGGAGATATCGTGAGATTCTCGTATCTCGCCAAGCTCATGCTCTAGGAAGACACGTAAGTCGTGTTCAATCGTACTCCTTTGGACTTCGTGAAGGACTAGATCTTGGTATGTGCCGTTCAGCATCTTCTTGAAGCCAAGGCGAATGTGGAGCTCCGGCCGACTAGTTACAACGATCTGTAACGGCATTAGTCGGATGTCCTTCGTCCGAGCAAGCAGCTGGAGGATGGTTCGAATATCTTGCTCTTGCTCACATTCGTCTAATGCGTCTATCACGACAATCCGCGCTGAAGCCTGTGAACAAGCTTGTTGGATCTCTAAGAGTGGCTGCAAGATCAGCTTCTCGAACTGGTCTTTCATGCCCAGAAACGGATAAGCTTCGAGAGATCACAGTCGTACTGATTGCTGCTTGTACGACTCTTATAGAGGACCTGACGCTTCTCATTAGTGACCCTCTACCTCCAAACTCTGCCCGGCGCGCATTCCTCATGCCAGTTGTACGACTCTGTTTTAGGTGGTTGATGAATAGATCGAGGGTTATATTTGTGAAGAGCATAGTCGATTCATTCAAGACTACGATCATACTTCTCGTGTCTACGATGGATCTTGCTACTAAGATTCATCGGAATGTCCCTTATTCGACAAGGTGAGCTTCGTGTGTACGAATCGCTATTGTGTGGCCCGCTAACAAATACATAGGCAGCCCCTCATAACACAAGTTGCAAGCAGCATCATGTTTGCAGAGGATGCAACAGAAACTTTGTGTAGATACAAAGACTGTCAAGACATCCAGAGCGAAAATAATTCTTATGTGAACCTTACCGCAGGCTCAAACACACCAAAGCAAATCGGAAGTCCAACACCGGAACCTGAGCAAGCATCGGTATTGCTTCATAGTAGACCTGTTTCCGACAGATATGATGAAACAAGTACTACAGAGGCGCACAACCAGATTAGCACGAGCGCTCTGAACTTCGATGACACAGAGTACTATGTGCAGCTCTCTCATGGCTGCAATCGGATGATTGAGATTCAACAGATGTCATGTGCACTGGCACAGACTGTGCTTGAAAGTACTGCTGCTAAACCTGGACGGACCTCGCAACCTACATCACACGTTCCTTTATCAGAATCAGAAAGTCCGTTCACAGCCCGAGAGAGTGCTCAACCAAGATCTAGCTCCCAAAAAGATTCTACAACTTTGCAGAGCAAAAGACACGAACCTGCAATTGATGCTATAGATCAAGTCCAACATTTAGACGATCTATTGCGCCATAAAGACCGTTCAGGCCACCAAACACCACTCCGACATGGAAATGACGCTTATCCAGCCACTTCTGGAGATGCGCCCAGAGTAGTAGAGTCGGTACATAACAATCTCTCGGCGTCAATGCCGCTTCCGCTTAAGCCGCAAACCATATACAATGAAGTACAAGCAGCATATGATGACGGCGAAGATCTTGTTCCGCGCGAACATGCTCAGTCAATACCGAGAGAGCTTCCAACTCCACCCTTAGAGAACACAAAGCCTATATCGCCATCGCCGCCCTTTGTTGCTAAGGAGGAATCTATGCTTACAAAATTAGAGAAGTTACTGCTTCGCAGAGAGGAAGAGCTTGAAGATGAAAAAGAGAAAGAAAGAAACAGAGTAGAGAACGCAAAGTTCGACAGGCTAGAAAAAATACTAATCTCTCAGCAAGAAGCAAAGATTGAAAAGGAGGCGGCAAGGAAAGCAGCAAAAGAAGCCGAGGAACAAGCAGTTGCAGAAGCGCGAAAGCAAGGAAACATGGATAAACTAGAAAAGCCGGAGAAGCTTATCCTAGCACAGAAGGATGAGCAGTTGAAAAGAGAGAAAGCACTCGAAGCAGTGCGGCGGGCAGAAATGGCCGAGGTCGATGCAAGGCAAGCTGAGAGAGCAGCCGTGCCGATCCTGTTCGAGGACGCCATCGGTCGGAAGTTCTCATGCCCTTGGCAAACGTGCAAAACATAGAAGGT